TTTGTCATCAAAAAGGATGATGAGGGAATCCTCTTAATATCTAAACAAAATGTTTTTAAACGAAACTGACCTCTAATTGCTTCATTTTGTGAAATCCTGCTCACCTTAATTTGTGCATCTGGTGAGGGGGATTTTCAAAATCAAAGTCTTAAAACCTGCTATATGCATTTTAATTGTTTTTTACTTAACAAGTGTGCTCTTAAGAAAATGTATTGGAAACTTAAACATGTAAATAGTTCAGCGCTTTTGAAGTGCTTGGACGAAACAGCGCCTCCTACCGGCATATATGACGGTTGACAAATATGGGACCAATTTTGGAATAAATGGATTTTTTTGTACATAAAAAAACATACTTTGCTACAAACAAATACTTTCTACATATTTGTTTTAAAATAATAAAAAGCGGCAAAAAAATGTAACTTCCTAAAAATATATAATTTACTTATTTATTATTATTATTATTATTTTTACCAAAAACAAACAAACAAACAAACAAAAACAAAAGCAGCGGATTTAATTACAATTTTTCTTCTGTTTTTGTTTGTTTGTTTGCTTGCTTGTTTGTTTTGTGTTGTCTTTTTGCTGAACAATCCCCCATAGTTTGTCCATTTTTTTCCATAAAAGTTTTCAAACGCTCTTTTTTTCTCTCTTTTTTGTTGTTGTCGTGCAACAAAGGGGTTAAAAGAAACTATTCATGCGCGTAATCAAACCCAGAACCACGCCGAGAAAAAGCAGCACTTTCACCACCACCACCCTCCCCCCTGAGGCTGAAAAAGAAAAGAAAAGAGAAAGAAAAGAAAAAAAAACATATAAAAAGAAATAAACTGAATCGGTCGCTTTTGATGATTGGTTTGTTTACCTGCGCATCCCAGTATGTCGCATATACTGATGATGAACAATATCCTGGAGGAGGAGGCGGGCCTCGGCAGAGGGTACTGTCCCAGTCTCCTGTATCCTCTGCGCTTCGGCAGAACCTGCAGGACAGCGAAGGCGAGGCTCAGAGCGGCGCTGCCCAGACTCAGAGCCCCGAACAGGACGGGCTGGAAGGAGACCGCGAACTCCGTGGCAGCGTCCCGGTTCGGGCAGCAGAACGTCTCCAGCCGCGGGGAGGCCATCACGGACTGCGGGGCGACGCGGAGGAGCAGGAAGAGGAGGGAGAGGGGAAGACGGCGCTCGCAGGAGGAAGAAGAAGAAGAGGAGGAAGAAGGAGAAGGAGAGGAAGAAGGGGAAAGGAAAAGAAAAAGGAAATGACTGAGTCCATGAGGCAGCTCTCCTCGACAAATCACGGGGTTGAATCATCATGTGCTTCTGTTTAATCCCTGAAGTTGTAGCTTAAGTCTGCCGCACAATGCAAGGCACCGACAAAAGCCTGTTGTATGAAAGAGACTGATTATGTCAGCCGGCAGAAGCAGACTTAAAGTTTCCTTTTTAATTCTTCGTCTAGCAAATGTAAAGGTCAAAGCAATAACATCAACTTCAAATGGAGTAAAACAGTCACAAAAAATGAAACCCAACTTTATGAGTGCACGCATTAAAAACATGAATAAGTCACAATAATCTGCAATGTTCACCGTGTCCTTCAAATTCTGAATTGTCTCCAGGCGGCCCTTACTTTGACTGGGTCACCGCACTTAATCTTAACAGTTTGGTTGTATCCATGGCTGAATGTCTAACGCCAACCTACTGACCAAATCTCAAGCCTTTGGTTCCTCCCCTCTCTTTTAAAGAAAGGCATGTGCCCAGCATGATACTGCCACCACCATGTATTATGTGCAAGGGCAAGACCACATATTGCATCATTCCAGATCAGTTCGCTGTGTACCCTAAATGGCTTGTGGCATGTGTTTATTTGTTCTCCATGCTAAGGTTGTCACTTTAAGTAGGAGACATGCAGTTGTGTTAAACACTCTTTCTATCGTCAGACGATGACTTGAACATCGCTATTGAAAATATCCTTGTTTATATTTTGTAATTTTTACATTCAATTACACACAAATGTACTGTCTAGCTATTAAGTGAGTTCTGATTTAAGTGCAAATAAGAGTTCAGATTTTAAGATGAAAACCATGTATTGATTAGTGGATATAAATACTTTTGTGGAAGACATACATTTTAACTTAATGCCTTCCTCACCTATGCTTCATATTCTGAGTCGTCTTGTATAGTGTTTGGCTAAATAAAAGCATGCCTGGTATCTGTCAACTGTACATTTCAAGCCCAGACACGCTGCATCCCTGTTAGGAACTGAATGCTTTTTATGTTAATGCTTTCTAAAAACTGCTGGGTTAAAAATGATTACGGTTCCGGATCTAAGCGGATTTAAAACAAAAAAGTTTGGTTTATGGGTTTGACGCAGCATACTCATTGGGTTCCTAACCCAAAGAGTCATATCAGGGGTAGAAGTAACAATTTCATATTTCTGACCCAATATTTGCTTCAAGGAAAGAATTTTTTTTCCTGAAGACCCTCAGGAGGTATAGTCTCTGTTCTTTCTTTTTCTGCAGCTGCTTGGTATCCCCCGCCCAGAGCCGATCATCCTCCAGTTCCAGAAGACCAAAGACTGAGAGAGTCACTCCACACAGGCCCTGTTGATCTCAACCGGATGAATGTCCACTTTTCTCCACTTGAAGTAAATAACCAGCTCCTTTGTTTCGAAGCAGAGCGCTTCCTCTGCAGCACTCAGAAAGCCGTTTGGTAGTTTTTTTAGTTTTGTCCCCGCAGCATAAACCCAGCATTCGGGTCAAAGAAATAACCCAGAAGTTTTTAGAGTGAGGCGGATAATTAATCTGCCGCTCCTGTTGGCTTCTGTGTCTACATGCCTAAGCATGGGCTCATATTTATTTATTTTTTCTGCTTATGTGGTTTCCTTTTTTTTTTTTTAAAGAAACAAAACTTGTAAAATGAAAATATTACAAAAGATTTAGGGTGACAGACACACTGTAAATGTAGAACATGTTGTTCTGCCGTCTTAAACTTATTGTCTTATTTTCTCCACATACAGAAAGCCAGTTTGTTTTGAAACATTAATATTTGTGATGTAAAAGGTTATAAATAAGATGGAACTCCCTTCACCACAGCAATTAAAATAAGGGACACTTATGTTTTGTAGATTTATGCTTAAAATTGGATAAGAACTGGGCCAACACATGATCACTTTAGATGGGGATTTGTGGTCATGTGCATGTGTCATATGTGCAGCAAAATCATGTGCACATGCGAGTCGATAGCCTATACATAAATACAGCCAAAACTGTTCATGAGTTTTGTCTTCCTCCAGTCACTCAAGATTAATAGCTCTATAGATTTTCTTTTTACTGTGTTTAAAAGAAACTTTTTTAAGTTCTACATAAAAATGCATCTATAACAGGGAAAAAAAGTAAATAAACCCAAAATGAACTCTAACATGGCCTGAGATATGCGTCGTTCCTCAAAGAAAAATGTCCGAAATCCTTACGAACTACAGGCTTAAATCATTTGAAAATATTGCAAGGTTTTAATTCATCAACATGAGCACATAAGAAAAGTAAGAATAAATCCAGACTTTTGCATTGTGCTGCATATAGCTTATTTTGGGGAATAGCAACTTAACTTGACGGGAAGTTGAAAGTAAACTGCAAAAAAAAAAAAAAAAAGAAAACAGTAGTTCCTTTATCATGTGATACTCTGATAATGAAAAAAAAACCACACATAGTGTTGACCAGAATAAAAAAAGACAAGCTAAATTAGGTTCTTCTGTTGTAAGGGTGAACATCGGCTGCACTCTGCCTGCTAAGGTCGTCTTACCTCTGCATGTGTGCATCAGGCAACCCCACACCCTGTCCTGATCCTGCAGAAGTCAGCTGCTGGATGTGCTCACTAGGCTGGAGATCTGAAACAAAGCATCAAGGACCTTCAAAGAATCAGTCAAACAGAGAGGGCATTCATACGGTTGGTACGATTGCATTCTAATCCATACCTTCCGTGACACGCCACAGAGTTAATTGTGTGTCTGGTTTGCAGCCTGCTGCCAGGGATTAACTAAACCCAGGAACAATGCAGTTAGACTTTTGACTTAATCTGAACATTTGCTCTCTGTGGCTGCCCTCTGCTGGCCTTCCTGCACTGTAACAGGACAGTAGCACTAAAGAACTCTTAGGTGGCGAACACGTGCATTAATGGTGAGAATATTTTACACACAGTGAAAACAAATGAAACAGAGTCTGCAGGCTGCCGTGTGTCCAACTGGAGGAACTCTGGCAGTTTTTTTTTTGTGTCACATTTAATTAATATCAAGATTGGTGTTTGTTAGACTGCTAACACATATAAAAGAAATATGGTTATTACAGAATAATTATAAATGTTGTATGTTTGTTACTAAAATGTTGTAGCTATTTAACAAATTGGATTTTACACCTAGCAACCAAAACAATCACCTGACCAGACATGCCTCCTTTTTGAAAATGATATGATGACATCACAAACTCAAATAATTTAGTTATGACTGCATTGATGGTTGAATAGATGTTCAATAGGGTGATAAATTGTTAAAATATTCCCCACCATTAAAGGTTGATGTTGAACTGGTGCCACTGTGGGTCCTAACCAGTAAACACAGAGCACTAACCTAGTCATCACTGCTAAGTCAGTCAAAACAATGTTAATACAAAACTGGAGAGTCACTGGTTACTGCTGATCATTAAATAAACTATGCTTTGACTTGAAGTGTCAGGACGCTAAATCAAGTTACTCACAGTAAAAACAGACAGGGAACTGAAATTTCTGTACAGGAAATGACTGAAATCAGAAAACAAAAACACATATATAGTTCAATATATTTACTTACCCAATCTGATCCAGTTGACCTAAATTTAAAATCTGAAGTCAGACACAACAGAGGAAAATAGTCACGTCACTTGCTAGAGATAATGGGTGTGCATGTGCCGTGTCGAATTTCAACAACAAAAAAAATACCAACAGGCTTAACTTGCTTCTCCTTTTCCATCTGCACTCCCATTGGCCAGAGCTGAGTCATTACAGTTCTTCCTGCAGGAAGGAAATAGCATGAAAACATCAAGAACTGCTCTCACAATAGGACAAAAATATATTCCAGCCTGACAGAAGGGAAACTAGGACCTTAAACCAGGTGAAGTATGTCTATTGGAAACAAAGACACAGCATGTCCAGAGGCAGCAGCTGTTTATTTCTCCAACTCTTTGATGAGTGGTGAGTTTAACACTTTTAATAGGTTATTACAGTAGACGTGTATATATCACTTCAAGGTCTCAGCAACTTTTTGCTTTTCACATGGAGATGTGGAAGCCGACTGGTCTCCGATTCACGATGCAGCCTTCAATGGAAACGTTCTCCGTCTGCAAAGACTCATTGATCAGGTAAAGTTTAACTTCTGGAGTTAAAATGTTAAAATTCTTGTGTGTGTCAACTGGCCGCACATTCCTATTTCAAATGCTAGTTTGTGATAGTGCTGCAAAGCTTTGATGTTTTTCACTACCTTTGATCTTTTGCATACTTTCGTGTATGGATCATTCATTTCCAAGTCTTGCCTCAGATTGGATTCCCAGTATCTGACATGTTTACTTCTGCATCTGCAGACCTGCAGATGCATTTCTTTACAATAGCACTGACCAAATTCACTGATGGAAAATGTCCACATAATATGATCCAGCAACCAGAACATTTCTCTGTGAGGATTGTTGATCAGGCTGATGTGACCTGTGTTTTTTTTTATGCTTGCCTGAGTGATCACAGGCCTCTTTTCCTACCAAGACATGGTGGACAAAAAAGTGTTTGTGTATTTACAGTTGGCCTTAACCAGCTGTATAAATACAAAGAAGAAATTACAAATTTTAACTCTTTTTACTAATTAAGTGGTTTCTCAATGCAGTTGATTGTACTGACTTTCAATGTATGAAAGTATAGAGGATAAATACAAGTTTATATTGATTTGTCTCATTCTTCTTTCCACTGTTATGCACAACTTTGTGTTAGTCTATGACAAAACGTTCCAATAAGACAAATTGACTTTTGTTGCGCTAATGTGTCAAAAGTGGTATGGATACTGGTGCGTTCACAGGGAACGTGTGTAAATCTAAACACTCTGGACCAAGTCTCTCCCCTTCATGGAGCATGCCTGCAGGGCCACGCAAACTGTGCCAAGCTTCTGGTGGAAAACGGAGCAAATGTAAGTGATTTACAAATGTAAGTGATTTACAGCCCACAGAAATGAGAAAGAACTAAATATGAAGTCAAATTAAAACTTCATGACTTTTTTTTAAGATTTTCTTCAATAAAGCCTGTCATTCTTGCATGTTAACAGCAACATTTAATTATTGCTAGGCTTAACCAGAAGGCAACTGAAATGAGTGAGAAATTAACCAAATGCACATAGCAGCACACAGGCAAATGTAGCTACCAGCAAGCAAAATGCGCTATGCAAAGCAGAGGCCAGACATTGCTGTCTTTTTTTTTTTTCCAACTTCAGGTTAATAACACAACTGTAGATGGACGCACTGCATTAACAGAAGCTTGTGCCAGGGGCCACGTGACCTGCGTCTCTCTGCTTCTCCAGCATGGAGCGACCCCCCGGGGCATCAGCCCGACCAGTTCGCCAATCCACTCGGCTGCAGCTAAGGGTTAGAGGTCACATTCCAAAGCATGTGCTTGCATAATCTCTGCTGAGCTTAGTCAGTGCTAGCATGAATAGCTAGAAAGAGAGAGAGACGTATGAACACAGAAGCGTCAAACATATTTGAAGCGGATGATCTCAGCTGTGTCAATTCTCAGTTTAGTGGTTCTGCTTCTCTCCCCAGGTCACCCTGAGTGCATTGAAGCGCTTGTTGAGTACAGAGCAGACGTGGATCAGGATATCGATTCATTAGGGTCTCCTCTCCATGTTGCGTGCTCCAATCAGCAACTGAGTTCAGTGAAGAAACTCCTTCAGCTCGGTGAGGAGGCGTCGAGTTTCAACTTTGATCCTCACAAACATTCATTACGGGTTTAGACTGATGATGGACTGAAATAACCAAATTCAAACTTGGAATGAGGCAGAAAGCGTTTTTCATTTTCCTTTTTTTTTTTTGCATTTGAATTAGAAGGTTTCGAAATGACTGATAATGAAAGTTATCAAGTAACTTTCATTTAGTTTTCATCAGACATGTCACCATCAATGAACAATTACTCTCCCTGAACAGAACAAAATGTTGAAATGAAACAGATAGTATCAAAAGTGTGGGGTGCATGTACGTCCAGTCCCACAAGATAAGAGAAATCGCAACGTATAAAATTGCAAAAAAAAACAACAAAACATCAAAATGCTTCAATGTAGTTCAGCAAATTATTTTAAACTCCTTCCCTCTCCCGCTACAGGTGCCGATGCTAACAAGGGCGCTTCTGGTGACTCTCCCCTGCATATCGCTGCACGTCTGTCCAGCCCTGGGTTGGTTTCTGCCCTCCTCGACCACGGAGCGGACCGGCTCCTGGTGAACTCAGAGGGCAAGCGGCCTCTGGACCTGGTTCCTCCTGACAGCCCAGTGGGGCGACTGCTAAGAGACCCAGGAGGTATTCAGTTCACAGTTACAGAGTGAAATAACAGAGATGGGTGGGCGTCCAACGCCCTTTGTACTGCTGGGACTGTAAGCACATAATCAAATCCTCTCTCTGATGACCCCAGCAGTGTCTCCTTTAAAGCAGCTGTGCCGGCTGTGCGTCAGGAAAACTGCGGGGAAGCACAGGCTGGGTGGGATTCCTGACCTTCACCTCCCCACTCAGCTGATACAGTATCTGCTCTACCAATCAGAGCAGAGGGATGCTCACAAACACTGAAATCACTTCCATCTTTCAACCCCAAACTCTGAGCCTTTTCACATTCAGGCCAGCAGGGGGAGAACTTGCACAACCTGGCAGGATAATTCCACTAGGAGAGCCTCAGGATGAGTGTGAACTGATTCATTATGTAAATAAAGAAACTTCTTGTTGGAAGATGCTTTTATAAAATATTCATTAGCAATAACACATATCAAATGAAAATAAAATCAAAGCACACAAACCTCTGAAAGACTAGCTTTAACACAACATATAAATCCTCATTAATGTTGCATTTCTTTCCATGTTGTAAATAAAAGCTGGATTAAAATACACGAGATGAATGTTCCTCGTAATTTAAAAGAAAAAAAAATCTAACAATTAAACCAGAATACAATAAATAAGAGTTCCCATGTCTCAGGTGATTTCCTCTGAGTTGGATAAACATGTACAGTATTTAAAATCTTTAATGTTTCATCTACAAGCATTGCTGCTTGGCTTGAACTACTTGAAAGCAATGTTTCCAATTCTGCTCTCTTTTAATGTGTAGTGCTTGTTGTCTTTTCATTTTCAACCGTTACTAAGATGCATCTTGTTTTGCAAAGTGTCTCAAGATGACATTTGTTGTGAATTGGAATTATGCAAATAAACACAATTGAAATTTCATCTACTGCTGATAAAAAATAATGCCTTTGACACACAAAATGCACCTTTGGCACAGTGCTGCAAGGGTGGACGCACTGACATTCATTTGATTGGCTGAAATGTGAAATAAGTTTCACAACATTTTATTAATTTTCCTTTTTTTAAATCTGGAGAAGTTGTGTAAACAACAACTTTTAACATTTACAAAATATTCCCAATGGGATTTAGAAGCAGAATTTTATTGGGCCATTCATATTTGTTTGATCTCAACCATTTCATTACATCTCTGGCTATATTTTAAGTGTTGAACCTTCTCTCAAATCTCAGCTCTTATAAGTCGTCTTAGTAGATTTCCTCCAGCACTTCTCTCTATTTGGCTCCATTTCCAACCAGTGGTATTGCTAAAGAGAAGCATCCCCACAGGATGATGCTGTCACTACTTGTTACGGTCAGAATGGTGGAATCAGGGTTTTGTTTTTGCCTGAACTCACTGCAGCACTTTCTTCTGCCACTGAATGACTTCTGGCAAACTGAAAATGTGACTTCCTCTCATACGTCCTCTCGTAAATTCATCCCCTCACAATTTGAGCGGATGAATTAGGTTGTGTATTGTAAGCGTTGATCTCTAACCAGTTCATTCACAGCGATGTGTATGGAGCTAGTTCCCCCATGGAGATTAACATCGTCTACATGGCGACCAAAGCGAAAGTCACTCAGCTCGCCCACATCCGCCGAGTTAAATGCAGCTCTCATTAGGTTTGTATCGATCCCTTTGTTCCAATTTGCCATCCAAACTAAATCACCGCCTGCTTTCCAAATGCGGCACAAGTGCCCAGGAGTCAGAAACACACTGTGGCATGTTTTGATTTTACCGGTTGTTTAATGTAAAAATCAATTTCCGTGGAGAAGCCTCTGACTCCTGCAGCTGCAGGGAAACACGTATTGTAAACACTGCTCAGTAGTTAGTTGGATTGTGACAAATTGGTGCGAGGACTCTGTCAGGGAATGGCAGTCACGTGTCCATTTGAAGAACGATCCACTTCAGTCGTGGATGCATTTCCGATGGAGGGTGCTGCTGGCCCTCGCAGTGCAGCCTGATGTTTTCCAACATTTAGCCAGGTACGCCGCAGCACTCAGCTGCACTTAAAATCAGCCTATGTATGTGTGATACCAAAGCTTTTACTAGTATTCTCCAGAGGAACACACTCCATTAACCTCCCATCCTTTTCCTTCCTTCCTGTTTCTCTATATACAGTGGCACTTTCTACCCCCCAAAAAAATTTCCAAATGGCGATTTTCGCGAGGAGTCGAGGAGAAACTTGCACACGAAAGAGCAAGGTAGCATCGAGTGAAGGCGTGCTTATAATACATTCATCTTTCTTTGACAAACTGCAGGAGAACAACAACATGAAGTTAAGGAGGTCGCTTGCATACACAGAAACAATGGTGCTTGCAGAAGCATTCACATCCCATCAAATATTTTGTATTTTTGTATTGCTTTTGTATTTCTTTATACATAGAAACTGGATATTTTGTACTTCTTTGCAAAATATCCTAACCACAGTCAGATTATATGGAGAGCATCAATTTCAGCATAAATGTTTAATTGCTGCCATTGATTCTCAATAGTATTTTGACCTGGACTTGGCGCGGGGAATTGTTCAAATCACACTTTCATCTAAATCTTGGCTATGGGCTTCTGGTGGTTGTGCTGCTGAAAAGTGAGCTTGTGAATCAGTCTTAGAACCTGCTTCCACAATCCCTGTTAAACACATTCTGATATCATGATGATGCCTCCACCATGTTTCACAGAGGGGATAATCAGGATGGAGTGCAGTGTGAGTTTTCCTCTACACACAGAGTGTCCCTTATGTTTGCAGTTTTCCATAAATGGCTTATAGAAAACTTCAAATTCAAGTTGCCGTGACTTTCATTCAACCAGGGCTGTGCTCTCATCCCTTTCCAAATTTTAATTAAAGTTTGGATCTTTACAGCTCCGATGGAGTTACCACTGGTCTCTTGCCTGCTTTGCAAAAATTCTGCCCTCTTGCTCTTGATCAAGCCAATTTAGGGAGGGGAGCAACAGGGGCTAAATATAACTGCACACCACACTTTTCAGATTTTTATCACTGAAAAAGTTGAAAACCAAGCTGCATTTCTTCCCACTTTGCAGTCACACAACAACTTCCAAGTTCTTCATTTACATAAAACTCTAACGAATAAATTGATGTTTGTGGCTGTAAAAGGGTCTGAATACTTTTTCAATGTGCTGTAGCTGAAGCCTTCGAGAGTCAAACATTCAGTGGTGTCCAACGAAAAAATGAAATGGGATTTTTTAATAATCAAAGCAGGATTAGCCTTCTTGTGTTACACAAATCACTCCAACTGGCAACCACCCACCGCAAAACAAACGGCGGTTGTTGATTTCAGTCATCTCTCGGGTGTGCAAACATCTAATAACGAGCTCACTCCTCACACCCCGGCTCGCGTCCTGATTGCTCCGAGCTGGATCTTGTTACTGATATCAGCGCTTCCCACTAAGATACAAGTGGGTTGTGCCTCGTCCTTGTGCTCTGCCAGTAATTGCTTTGGTATTTTTAGTTGAGTTTAGTGTTGGGGTAATTAAAATAAAATGAGGTGGTGGAGACACAGTTCTCTCATGGGCTCCTGGGTCTGAGCGTGGAGAAGTTTAGTAAGGTCATTCGCTGCGATGTTTTCAATTACAAAGCTCCGTTTTAATGGGAGCTTATTAAAGAGAAGGAATAATTTTGCATAACTGGACAACTTTAGTGGCTGAAACAGCTAGAGCTGAAGAATAAGGCGGGTGTTTAAATGCCGTCTTTAGATTCATAACAAAGACTTGGCCAAAAAAAACCTGAACAGTAAAGGTTGAATAAAAAGGATTTATTTTATAATATGTTGGTTTAAATAATTTTTTGTAGATTGACAAATAATTAAAAAAATGCTCTACATAAACCTTAATATGACTAATTTTTCCAACAAAATCTAATAAATGTTATTAACTTAAATTATGTTTTCACAATCAGCCACAATAGAACCTATCAATCCGTTACATTAACCTAGTAGGCAGCAGAACAATCTCTTCGCTCAACATGGACCGACATGTCTCGATGGTCAGCTCTGCTACTCTTCAGGGCGGTCAGCCAGTGGGACTTGGCCGGGTGGAGCAGAGGACCAGCGTCCCATCAAGTGGTCAACTGTAGCCCGGCTGGAGCCGCCAGCGCCTCCTGGAGGGCTGACAGACGCAGGTGGAGGGGCCGGCGGCAGGTCAGCTCGGTCGCTGAGCCGTACCCAGCAGGTAGAGACACAGCAGGTTCAGCGCTAGCAGGACCAGCACCAGCCCAGTGAGAACCTTCTGCACCCACAGACATGAGTTCATTTTCAGCTCCAGTCGAGAGTTGCACGCCATCACTCGCATAAGCTGGTAAAATAAAAAAAATAAAAAATAAAAAACTGCTGGATTTAGGGTGGGACTGCATATCACAAATTTACCAGGAAAAAATATTGCTTGCATATGAGTCGTAATGCATTTGTGCTTTGCATGCAGGTGGTGTTTGTTTGAGGAAGCAGAGGAAATTAAAGTGTTCTGCTGAAGTCATAAAGAGCCTGTGCTGCCATGCAACCAAGAGGTTTTGCTGCCACCATATCAGCTGAGCCATGTCTGTTCTTTCAGGCAGGAAATGCGCCGATAACAAGAAGTCTACAGCAAAGTTTCATTTTAATACAACTGAGCTAATGCTGAATTCAGAAAATTTGGCAGCATTTTTAAAAGACTAGAGTTATGGTTAAGGTAAAAATCTATATTATGTTGTGAATTAACTCTTATATTAACGGTGATGCTAAAGTCTGTGTCAAATGTCTATGCGATAGTAACCAGAATTTTTCTTTTCCCCTTAATTTAAATAATTGACTGCTTGTGTCAGGAAAGGCTAGAAAAATAAACATTCTAAATGATTATGATAAAATAGGCTGCAGGCATTTCGTTTGATCAAATTTGACTTACTTCTGGGATGAAACAAGCAGCAGCCTGACGTCATGTAAGGTTGGACTGTACTTAGCATTAATAACTTTGAGCCTTATTTAAATGAGCTGGAGCCTAAGTCTGTATGTGTCCTTGGTAAACTGCAACAGAAATGGCACCTATGCCTTTAGCCTAGCGATGCATGCGTAATGGCAAAGTGGAGACATTTTGAAAATCCTGGCATCAGAACTCACCGCTGTGCTTAACTCCTGCTGCCCGTTGGTCGATGTCTCTCCCAGGCTGTCCCTGTGAGGGACGCCTGATGACTTAACGCTGTCCAGTACATGACAACGCAATCTGCAAGAAGGTCAGAGTCCAATGAGCGAAACCAGCTCCACTTGATCAAAAAGGTACTTAGAGATTGACATGAAAACATGTAAAATGTTAGATACAAGTTCCTCTCAAGGATTTTAAGAGGTAAGAAATAAGAGCAGTAAGTAGCAATTTGGATTCAAATTAACTCTCATATATAGACTTAGTATTATTCATTCCTACTGAATTAGTCAATGCTGACAATGCAAATACAGCTTAGTAAATTAGAAAATTAAGAAGAAGTTGATTTATTATAGGAATTCACAATGGACAAGGTCTTACTGCTCATTTATGGATGAACGGAAAGCATACAAATATTAACCTTTTCAATTTTCATGTTGATTTTTTTTTTGTTCTTGACGCAAACTTGTAATAATGTACGGGAGCAATAAAAGGAAACCGATACACACCGGTGCTCCATGATCTTGTTTTTCTGTACTTCTTTCCAGAACTGAGTGAGTTCCTGTGATCCAGCGTTTTCCATTTCTGCAGCCATGATCAAAAATCTGTCTTGTGGAGAGGCCTGGGAACCTGCACAAAACCCATCAATAAAACCATTTAAGTAAATGTTACGGTTATGGTTGATTTCATGAAAAGTGGTGGAAGTGGGTCTGAAAGCTCATAATTTTGGCTGGTTATATAACTTTTAATAAAGCAAAAAGTCAATGAATTGTTCTGTGATATTAAATGTGAGAATTACCTGGAAAGTAATATAAATCAGTGGCAATAAAACTGACTTTAATTACTGTTTGAAAAGCTTTTGTAAGGGGAAAAAAAACCTCAAGATGACAGCATAAAAACCAAGGTAACAGCCAGGTTTGCTGATTCTCCTCAGATATGCTCAGCACATCAAACCTCAAACTGACGTGTCGGTGTTTGAAGGCTGCACTCTGGTTCAACTCTCTGTCAGCTACCTGACTGTTTTGTTTTGGGAAGAGGGCGATTCTTTTATCTCACCTGAAATATGCATGTCGGGCAAAGAAAAAGTGACTACCTGCACTTTGGGAAGGTAACGCAGTGCAGCGTTTTGATTATTCTAGAGCTCAGCGGATAGCGTGCAGAGCATTGAGTGCTGTACCTCCATGCAAGGACACCACTATGTCCACCGAGGCTCCCGGTTCACAGCTGCTGCTGCTGGGCTTCACTCGGTACTTCTCGGGTGCCGTGGTACGAACCTGCGCATGCAGAGGCACGGGGCTCGTTAATTAGATTAAACGTTTTTGTTCATTACCCAACGCGACAATTTGACTCCCTCATAAGTCAAATTACCTTAAAAGCCACCTGATTTTTGGTGACGTTGCTCAGAATAATAAGGCATTTCTTCTCGTTCTCACCGGAACCAAAGCTGAGCTCCTCAGAAGGACTGAAGCAGAAAAGAGATGGGGTTTTGTTACAGCAACTACAGCAAACAAAAAACAAAAAAAAAAAAAAAAAAACACCTTTTAAAACCAAAGGCTCATATCTCAGGAAATGTGGCAAAATAAAAAAAAAAAAAAAAAAAAAAGCATCGGTTTTCATTTGTTACTCCACACGCTTTGTTATTAAATCTTACTACATTCTGTTCGGGTGCATTTCTCATTCCCTGGCGTCTGTGAGGTCTAATTATCTGTGGATATGAAGCTTTTCCTGCTAACCACCATGCCTTCCCTAAGGGACAGTTTCTGTGGAAATGTGCTATAAAGAATGAAAATGAAATTTCTGTGTTTATATATTGGATACAAACTATATTTTGCCTCACTGTGAAGGAAGGAAAAATAAATGGATCCTGACTATTGATGTGTTATTCAGTATTCATGAAATAAAGATGTGAAGAAAAAACATTCCTAAACTCAGGTGAATGACAATGGTATTTATAGCACCCTCCATACTTATTGGCCCTATGGCTGAAGTGTTCAAAAAGCCGAACAGTGAATTTATGTTTTATTAGAGCAATCTAATTCGGCATTGTAAAAATCTCACCCTTTGCTAATTGGAGCAAAGACCTCCAAAGACCATTATACCAAAAAGAAAAACTTGAGCACGACCCATTTATTATACTTGGCCAAATAAAGCAAGTGATTTGTTTAAAAATGGTTTATATTCTTTTCTTGTTAAAGAAAAACACTGAAGCAAAACAGAAAATACTTAAACATTGAAAGACATAATGTGTCTTTCAACATATTCATCTTTCCTTGCCAGAAACAAACTCAGTGGTGAACTAGCTTTTTCACTGCAGAATTTTTCCACCACTCAAATTGCAATATTGAATTTTAAAGTGTACTGCAGTGACAAAAAAAAAACTCACCTTAAAGCTGTGAGGTGAAAAATGATAATTCAAATAGACTGCTGGGTTTAAGCCCATGAGCTTTCTCTGGTGCTGCACTTATGTTATTGGTTGTTGAGCTGTTGTCCAGTTAAAATTAACAGGAAAAAATAAATTGTATGTTGATTTTTAAAAAGTCTACCAACCCAATTAAGCTATACATTAAAATAAATTGCATAGTTGATGCAACATAAAAAAACAAAAAACAAAAAAACAACACAAAATTAAATGTTCCCATTTTAATTGATGTATTTGTCCCAAAGGAGAGTTGATTAACAGATGGATATATTTTGGAGCAGAAAATCTAAATTTGGTACGAGATCAACTGCCAACAGAATAGAGCAAGAAATTTTATGGCCAAGAGGAGAAAAAAAAAAAAAAAAAAAAAAAAAACTGTCTTATAATTTAGGCATGACCTTCTTTTTGCTTTTCTTGTGATGAGGAGCAACTAATTTGTCCTCCAATCAAGTTTACAACAGTCCAATTTGCAGGGCATGTGATTAGACTGACTTGGCTTCAGTGCACTGTGAACACTGGGAGCCTAAGCTTTGCAAACAAGAAAACCAGTATAGATTTTAATGTTTTATTTAAATGTAGCCTAGTTATGCTCCATGGCCTAAAACTGCCAAGAATAAAGCCTTATTTTCTCTTCTTAATGGCATTGTGCATTCTTTTCTCCCTTCAAACAGCTGTAGAAACAGGCTCAGAGCGAGCCTAGGAACCTCAGGCAAACACAAGATCAAAGACCACTACTCTCTTCTGAAGCCCCCAGCCTTGAATTAAAAGCCAACAGAGCTCCGAAGTATAACTGCATTTAAGGCTCGGTTTAATCGGTTTATCTCTATAATTCACAGCTCAGAGCAGTCAGAAATCCTCACTTCAAAGCTGCCACACAGTGGAAACAGAACTCGGCACACATTATTCTTGAAAATGAAGTCATATAGTGCGAGGTAAAAAAAAAAAAAAAAAAAAAGAAGTTGTAGCACTTGAACAAACTGATTTGAATGCCAATGAACATTGGATTCAGGAACTGATTGAAACAAAAGAAGTGCTGCAAAAATATTCAAATTCCTATGAAAACGTTCTTTTTTTATGTCTTTGCAATATTACATGTTGGTGCAACACAAGTTGCCCATAGTTGTGAAATGGTAGAGTGCTTTTATTTAAAATATGTTTATATGAAAACAAAAAAGACATTAAAGTTTGTGGTTGTACAGTGAAAAATGTTTCAAAAGGTCAAAGAGTAAGCCTACTTCTGCGAGGCTTTTTATGAAGGACTATGAAAAGAGGATCCTGGCGCCCCTGTTGAGTGGTAATTAATTGCTTGCCAGTGTTTCTCAGTAGAATGGGTTTCAGTGTTTGATTTACAACACCAACTCATTTTTAATCAATGAAAGATCGACTGGAAACATCCTGGATTCCTGCTCACGTCTCACAAGATCAATCAGGGCAAAAAGGCAGAAAAACATCAATAATGACCTGAAGCGTCAAGTCGGTGTGTGAAAAACTAAACTTTTTGCCACCAAAAGAAGAAAAAAAAAAACAAAAAGAAAGTAAAAAGTGTAAATATTTTTTTCGTGCAGTGATTCAAATTACAGCTTTTTTACTCCATCTACACATTCTGTAAGGCACCAGTCTATCCATTTTATAATAAAAATTTCCTTCAGATAGTTTTAGAATGATGACATTTGGCTACTGGGAATTTCTTCTTCATATGTTGTGAGCAAAGAACAAAAAGCATAAACTGCTAAAATAATTAGCACCAGGGTAAAGAATAAAACAATCATATGGTAACTAAGACGGCCACCTTGGCTTCAGGTCTTACAAATGAGTTTTAAATCCAGCATAGCAGCACATTACAACACAACCTGGTTACAGCTGGAGATAAGATCCAGATAGGTGCTATCATGCCTAACCGTTAGTGCTGTTAGGTAAAAGCAAACTCATATGTTCTGCCCTATTTGTGCTGCAATGAAGCTGCAAAGAGAAATTCTGCAGGGGCCAGAACAAACACACAGAAATAGGTTAAAACTCACAAAGGGATTGTGCAGTAATTGTGCGCTCGGCATGTATTGTTTCAGCTTTAGATTTAGCATCGCAGCCCGTTTGTTCAGAAAAAATTTCAGAAGATGACTACAACACGGTCAGATTGGATAAATTGATATGCCCCAGTCTTATTTTTAAAATGTGGACAGAGTTCAATCATACTTTCAGCAGACTCACACAGTTAAAATCAACACCGTCAAAGCTATGAAGAACTGTGGACGTTTTTTTTTTTTCCTTTTACAAACAAGGCACTTCTCCTTTTGTTCTTTTTCACTCTCCAGTTCTTTCATACCTCCTGCTATTGTTATATCAATCAACAATGAGCACAGTCATTTTCATGTACGACCTTCATTTGGATAGAAACGGCGGAAAAGTTCTGTGACTGTTTTGATATTGTCACGCTCAAACGCAGATGAGAAAATGGTCTTTGTGAGACTTCCTGCTTTTGTAGGTGTGATGAAAACAGTTTGATGTTTCGATAGTTATCGGACAGAGTCACGGGTAAAACTGGCCTTGCCGCAAATATAAATGGAACGGCTTTTCTATTTCATTTACATGTACAGCGGATATGAAAAGCGTAACCAGGACTGTTGAAAGGTCAGATCTTAGGGACTCGAAGGACAAGGACACCAGAATAAGTTATTTCAAAGCTGCTTTGTCTTTAATATAAAATTTATCTGGTAAATATTGATACTGAAAAAATCTAACAAATCTATCAGGAAGGAACAAATAAGTGTAGTAACTGGTTGCAAAAGTGTTCACATTCTTTACTAATACTTAAATTAACTATTCATTCAGTTGCTGCAATCAGAATATTTTAAATCCCCTGTATAGAAATATGGATTAATATGCTGGATTGACCTGCTGGAAAGCTAGCAGCTTTCCAGCATATTTTTATTCCCACATGGGTCCATAGCATGATGATTCAGAGAGACAGACAGCTATGCTCTCTGATCCATCAGTTTCTTGTCAGTCTGCATGACTTCACACTTACTCCTAAAGGACTGTTTGTTAAAAGGAAGGGCAAAGACGGAAAGGACACAAGCTAAAAAAGGAAAAAGAAGAAAACCCTGGTTTTTCTTAGGTAAAGATCAGATACACTAATCTAGTAAGCATCCAAGACACACTTTAGTAGTTGATAAAAATTACAATAGACTAACATTAAACCAATAAATATTCACCCAGAAGTATGTTTAGTGTATCTTTAAAGATCCAAACTTAAAAGTAAAACAAAGAGACAAAGAAAAGCTGCAGCTTGTCCCAGGTGTTCTGGGTTTTTATCCATTTAAAATATTTATAAACATCTACCACCATTGATAACTGATCTTTGAGGGAGGTTTGACTGACAGACTGGCCCATCAGCAGGATCAGGTCATGTCTGCATGTTTGCAGCTAGCAATAGTCACCCCACTGTTCCCAGCTTGGTGACATTCTTGCTCTCGATAGCAACATTTCAAACAACAACAAAAAATCAGTATTGTCCAAAATTGGAATCGGAAGGTCAGGCTTTTTAAAGATCGGCGATCAGCCAGAAAACTGCAATTGGTGCACCCCTAGTGATTAGATATGATTATATCCGGTGGTCATAAAGAAAAGATTATATCCAATCGATGTACAGTTAAGATATTGAAAAGAGGTAGTTCTGGTTCTAGAGGCCTTACAAAAATATTCACACCACTGGATCCACGTTTTTTTTTATGCTACAACCACAAACTCAAGTGTATTTTATATATCCTCCCAACTCCTAAAGAATAACCCTGTATTTAGTTGAACTCATCTCCCAATCAACTCTGACCAGTCCTCATATCCTCCTGAGGAAAAGCCATGATGCTGCCTCCATCATGTTTCAGGAGGACATGTTCAAGTTGATGTGCTCTCTTAGTTTCCCATGCCATTTATCCTATGGGAGACTAATAAACGATTTTAATAAACGATTTTGTAAATAATATACACAGACGTCACAAAAGAAAGTGAGAACATAATGTGGGGCCTACCTAACATCTAGCAGAAGACCTTTGAAGGTGGTGAGTGGCTTCCTGACTCCTTTCACTCTCACGTTTGTGTCTTTGTCACCATCCTCTGACCTTAAGCTTTCTTCTAGAAAATTCACCTGCAATGGAAAATAATTAGAAATCAGAAAACGCACAAAATAAATAGAATGCAAATATAGAAAGCTAGCCGAGCACCCTGTCTTAAATGAAACGTTTGGCCTTTGGCCTCCAAGTAGATCGCTATGAGTTAGTACAAGAAATCAAAGTCAACTTTCATCAATAAGCTACTCTGTTTTTTTTTTTTTTAAAAAGATGAAATGCCATTGTTACCAGAATGAAATACTAATAGAGAAATTTTATTTTTATTTTGTGGTTCCACTCTCAATCTGACTTCTGAACTTTGCTCCTGGCAGCATCCAGAGGGAACGGAAAAATAAAACCAAGCATATCCATGAAAATAAGGAACCAGTATAACCCGCAATCTCATGACTTTTGACATTAAAACAAAAACCTCATGAACCAAACTAGGTCATTTGGGATAGAGTCATGAGATACCTCACACGGGGGAGCAGCAAAAGGCTCACGCACTTTGACCCAAATCCTTCCCAGAAAGAGCACAGACCACACAATGGCTGACTGGACAGGCAGACGTGTTACATGACTGGCCAAGCCTTTAAATATATGGATGCTTGAGCCACAAAGAATGTACTGTGGATGGGACAGTGAAAACATCAGGAGACGATAAACGAGAGTGAAGAAAGGGACCAGTAGAGGAAAATGTGCGAGCAACTGCTGACTCAAAGGGGAAGTGTGTATTCCCAGCTAAAAAATGTCCAAGGTTGTTTCTGCCTTTCATGCAACTCCATCAAAAAAAATAAAAAAACAGACGTCAAGAGATTGTCAGCTTCCAGTTTGATTATTTATTGAATTTCAAGAGAAAACAAAACAACTATGTAAGAATCAAATTTAAAGTGATTTGAAAAGTACAACAACTTCAACTTAGAGGGGAAAGTAAATGCTTAAAGTAGATTGCACTTTATTACAGATACTGGAATTAAAAGTACATTGTAGGGAAGAGAACAATCATTGGCCCCATTTCTGACGCCCATAATACAATTTAAAAAATCCATGATAGATTAATAGGGAACAAAAACATAGAGGGGAATCTAATATGAGAAACAAATTAAGAGGCTATAGCAGAATGAAGAAATTAAAAATCATAAAAGAAAGACATTTAAAGTGCTACGTCCATACATTGCACAATATATGAAATGCAAAGACAACTGACTTGCATTTGAAATGCACATGGTCAAGTCTCCTTCTTAGTGCAATACAAATTAAGGCACACAGCAACACTGTCAACACTGCTAAAAACTTTCAAGTTTCAGACTTGGCTAGAGATAATATCTGATTGTAAGGCACACAAGGCTTACATTAAAAAGCAGCTTCAAATGGCATGTTTGATTAAGGATTTAGTGCTAAGGGTTAATAAGTTGGTCTACTGTAATATAACAGTAATTATCTTAGTAGTTATTAATCGGGAGGTTAGATGAGACAAATAATGTGAAATATTTATGGACATCAGGGAGAGTGCTGACCTTTTATGAAAAGCTAATTAAACCGTGAAACGTGGGTCTCGCTTACATCAGCACTTCCAAGGCATGCAAAGAAAAACAAAATAAAAAAAACCCAGCCTATTAAAAAGGCATCATCCGGTAATCACAAAGACGCAAATTTGTCGGGGCCAAATTGGAAATGTGAGGTCCATGATGGGCGAAGGATTGGGCTTGTGTAGTAGTGGTGGTGGTAACTTGGGTCGACCTTAGTGGGAGGAGTACAACCTGCCTCTCCAGTCTGTAGAGATCTTCCAGACATTGAGCTTCTGCTGTGGTTCTGATCCTATATCGCTTTACCACAGCCACCCCTTGTTTCCGCAACCAGAAAGAAAAACAAAAGAAAAACAAAAAAAAAAGAAAGACAGAAAATTAGCTTAAAGAAGCCATCAGGCTATTAGCTCGGCGCTTCTTGACCTCAGAGGATTTTGGGGGCAGACAGATAGTTGATGTGGGGAGGGTGGAGGAGTGACTGAAAGAGACTTTTATTTATTTAGACAAGATGGACCAGAAGGAAAAGAATGAAATGCTGTGCTGAATGTACTCAGATGAGCTCAAAGCACCAGTAGCCTGTTGTGACAACACAGAACCACATGTTTAGTCACATTTACAGCAACAAATACAAAAAACTACAACCACAAAACAAACCAACATTTTACATCAACACTTTTATGCTAAAAAAGACCAACTAAAACCCTAACCTGTCAGTCAGCATTCCCATTCCTTCATTTCAAACTTTTCCTTTAACTGGTCAACCTTGTTTTAAATACTTGTATCATTTATAAAATATGGGTATGATCCTAGAGTAACGCAGCACTGCCCCACCGCCACTGCTGACTGCTGGTCAGTTGACTGAAAGAGGAGTCTACACTTTCCTCTTGATTTTCTTGTCTGTCTGGAAATACTCCAAGGACTGAAAAAAATGCACAGAATCCTGCAGTGAAGAACCTTCTCCACTATTGGGAGGCAAAGCTGTTTTAAAGCTTCAGTTGCAAGTAATGAACAGCACATATGTTCTAAATGAGTAGATACATAGATTAACACGCCATCATTAGCTTACTTTATTTCTATTAAGCGCAAGGACAAAATGCATATGGTTCACCAGAATAAAACAAACTGAAAACTTTGACTAATTGCCTCTAAATAGGAATTACTAGATAATACTACAGTTATGAATGAGGACGCTTTCCGCCAAAATGAGGTTGTTAATAACTGGGTGGCTGTAATTTGGTAATGGAAGCAACTCAGACTACTTCAATAAATGGTTTCAGTGACTTTTCACCCTGAATATTCAGGGAATGTTTATTAGATCATCTGACAGCCTTATTTATAGCCTTCCTTCAGACATGCACTCGGGAAAGATTACTTTGTTTCTGAGGAGTTTCCTACAAGTGATTGTGTAACTATATTTTGACAAGCTAGCAAGAAAAACATCTTCCCCTTCCTGGCCTGGTTGACTTAAAATAGTCTGGTGCGTAGTGGGCTCTTGTGCTTTTGCATGAAATAATTAGATCAACATATCCTTTTGCCAACTTGTACTCTTACTGTGTATCCATGCACTTAACAGTTGCATATTGGTTTATGTCTCTCGGTACTCTGATAATTCTGACAAGTTATGGAGATAAGTGGTCATAAATAGACTGAAATCTCATATACGACTTAACTATGCAGTGTGCATTCTTTTTTCAAAAGTTTTCCATCCCATTTTATTTAAATGTGATTCTGATCCCTGTTTGGATCAGTCAATTTATGAAATGTTAGCTATTAACTGAGCAATCTCCTGATGGTAGAAATTATTCATTGGAGTCAAATAACTCGGTTGTCAAATCAAGCACGAAAAGTACAAAATGAGAAACGGGTTTCATAATCCTTGTGGAACGTCTGGCGGGAGACAGAGACTTTCTGGACCAAAAAGAAACAATACTACAAAATGGCACTGAAGACTCAAATAAAATAAAAAAAAATATATCTATTTGAGGACAGCAATGTAACTTTTAAGAACAAATAAATTTGTTCCCCTACCAAGAGCACAACATAAGCTCAAACCTCAACCTGTAGATTACACCTAGGCTGACAAGTAATTGATGTGGCTTGCTTTAAAAGTCTTAATCTCCTGGCAGCTTCTTAACAATTGGATCATTGTTCAGTAAAGCTTTGTGGGAGTAGCTCTGGCTAACATGGTTTGTCTCCTGTAAACTGCAGCTCAACCTGCTGTTTGTCCACATATTTGTGAACATATTACAAAGCCTGACTATCTCTTTGTCATGTGAATCCTCTATGAAGCTGAATATAGCAGTCAAAAAAAAGTATAAGTTTAATCTTTTTCAATTACTACAACATATATACAACATTGTAGTATTCACTTTGTGTCGTAAATCCGGATTTTTCCAGAGTTCCTTGCAATTTTAGCCAATTTGTAAAGTATAAATACAGTACCTTCCATAAGAGTTTATGGAAAATGTCTCTAAAGACATACACATTGATAGATGCATAGTATAAATGGATGGATAAAATGATAATTAGAAAGAGGAATGATAAACAATAAGCACGGACACATGGATGGTTGGATAAAATAATCACTAGAGAAATATACAGACTGATGCATGAACTCAAATCTTAAGAGAGTGAGGGAGTAAAAGAGGAAAAGTCTGGAAACAATTTCTATTTTCTATACTCCCACTACACATAACAGAAAAAATTGTAATCATATTCCAGAGTTTTACAGCCTGTGTAAAAACCCTATAAATGGGTCCATCTTAACGGTATCTCGTTTATTACTTTACAGCTGGTTTTCATAAAGCGTTTTTTAGGACAAAAACGAGAAAGGAAGCGTAAAAATATGACAGGAGATCTGGGTAATCCTGATGGGGAGTCAGAAGAAAATCTGTGACATACATGACACGAGCTGCAGGCCGTCTGCATCCAGGGTGCAGCCCTGAGAAAACCATACTGAGAAGGAGGCGAGAGCAGCTTTAACATTTCCAGGGTGCAAGTCGTCTCAGTGATAGCGCTTCATGATGCAGGAAGGAGGAATCTTGTGACAGCATGGAAGAGCTTAAGTAACAGACCCTCTGTGGACACCATGAGGAACTGAAGATCAGCAGCGTGCCAATGAAGGCTTAGCTGGATTTAATGCAAGCAAACCCCTCCAGCACCAAAGAACAAACTCAATAGACACCATGAAAAACAGCTTAATGATAATCATATAGCCAGCCTGATTACACTCTGAAATCTGGAGGTCCTGACTAAAAACAGGATACGAGGAGTTTAAAATGTGCAAAGTCACAACCAGGTCACCTCTGTCTTAAATAAATCAATCTAAAAAATAAAGCCGGGTGCTGCTAAATGTGTCGGAGTCAAAAAGAAAAAATAAATAAATTTCACACTTAGTTCTCAATCATATAAGACAATACAACTCTGACTCACTGAAAATCAAATTCAAACTTGCAATGAGGTCCAAAGCATAATTCTAGAAAACACCTGGAGCAACTGAGACTCAAATATTTATTATAATTTTGCAAGAAACTAAAATAATTTCTTTTTAGCAAAAATGAAAAGATTTATTTGATGTATTCATGAAACAATTTACCTTTTTGGGCTTTGCCACAATCTCGGAGTTGAAGCTGGACTCGAGGGTGTCTCTGCTCTCCATTTCACCCTCTTTGCTCTCGGCGTCATCCTCGCTGGCCATCGGCCCGTTCTCACACAGCGGCGTTTGGAAGTCATCGTCTGGAAGAGGTGGGTATGTGTACTTGAAGAGGTCCTGGAAGAAAGGGGACACATCATCTTGCTTACTGCAAATCTGTAAGCAAGATTTATAATTATAATATTTTATGTCTAATTAAAACAGAAGAAGAAGATATTAACTTTAAACATGTCACACACAAAAAAATGCAAATTGAAGTTTTATGATGTAATGAGGTTAATAGATTAACAAAAACTACATGACCCATAAATTTTCCATATTCACTCAAGAAAAATATGCACCACCAGTTTTTAGCAATTTCTAAAATATTTTATCATAGCAAAACATACAGAACCCTGAAAAATTAGTCATAGTTATTGATTTTTTAAAACTTTTTGTTACATTAAGACATCAAACCAACATGTTGTTTTGTGTGATTGCACACATCAGAGCAACATATTCTTGCGTGTCGTTTCACATGGAAACGACAGGGAGAGAGTTGAGGAAGTTCAAAGCAAAGTTGGATTACAAAACAATACTCTAAGCACTGAACAGCTCACTGAACACTGTTGAATCCGTCATCCAAAAGCGAAAAGGACGATGAACATCTGTCAACCAAATGACAAGTAGAAAACGAGCTAACCTGACAGGACAGGCAGGTTATTACTATTAATCAGAAAAGCAGTAAACCAAAACAACCAAAAAATACAGCCGAAGATGCAACAGAATGTTTAGAAAGCATATTATTGACCTACAATGACCTAGTTAAAGGTCAAACCAAAATACAGTTGAATATGTGTAGAATGAGTTAGAACTTGTCCATTTTTTGCCAATGGAGAATTGGCAAAAAGAAATTCAGTGTCTAGATGCGCAGCAGTAAATGCAGTGAAGTATTTTACAGGACATAAATTTGACAGATATTAGTACAAAATGTAAAATCCCTGCATCATTCTCCATCCACATCCCACCAAAATACATCAAGGTTTGTTTTTGTAATGCATTTTAAAATGTGAAAAGGTTTAAGAAGTAAGAATACTTTTGAAAAGCTAATTAATAGTCATTTGATATAATGGAGTTTCTCCAAAATATAAAAAAACATTAGCCGATTCTAACATTTATTTTCTACATGAAACAAATCTGAGAATTAAGCACATGAAGGGGTGAAGAAAAACGTAGAAACATACCGATCCACCCAGGTGAGGCGGCAGGTACTCAGCACCAATATATGTGTGAATCTCAGTTTTGGTTGCAAACTTCAGCTTTGCGATGGCTTCTGGACCCAACCAGGACTTCACAATCTTCCATGCAGCTGGAACCAGAATATACATTTAAAGATCCATGTTTTTAATGAAGTCACAGTGCATCAAAAATCATCAATTAGAGTCAAGCAGACTCTTTCTCACCGTTCATGATCCAAGGCATGTCTACTATGATCATTTTAGCTGAAATGAAAAAAACAAAGTTCCTTGGTAAAACTACTGTGTTCATTTTGCATATTTGACTTTAAAGAAGCTGCAAAGATCACAAGCAATCCATGGTCGGAAGATAATATCTTTGGTATATTATAATAACATTTAGTGTTATGTTACTTACATAAAAACTTTGGATAGTATACTTTGAAGCAATTGATGACGTACTTTACAAAGTCCATGTCCTAAAACGAAGAAAAAAATGAGAAATTAGGAGATTCACAAAGGAAACAACCTCAAAAGTCTTGTTACAAAGTAGCACAAAAATATGCATAAGAAAATGATTTTGACAGGAGGATGATCGCCTCTCGTTCTGAAGTTACTCACTAAGGGTTAAATAAAAATTAAATGCAAGTCTGTTTGAAGGATTTTCAACACTGACAAAAAAAAAGAGAAATCTTGGGTCTCTGCTGTTTATTGAACTATATTGACAATATTTTAAAGATTTCTTCTGCAACTTGGCAAGTTTCATGCGATGCTTCTTCTACTGTCTATGCAAACTGAGTTGATCAGACAGACTGTCCGAAAGACCAATAGGAAGGAACTTTGGCTTTGGCTAGGCTCCATAATAGGCTAGAAGCCTCACTCTTTTGCAGTGGACTCACTCCTAAGCCCTAATTAGATCACACTGACTGGCTCTAGTGCAGTTTATCGTGGGCTTCAAAAGAACCCTACCTCATGTCTTTCTCATCTGATCTCCTAAACAAATAATTGTATGTCATGTCTCTATAGTTGCTTGTGTTGGGTAATGACAAATTTAACAGTCCTTTCTCCAGCAGGGTGCCACTGACTGAGAGAAAGTGAGTGAAAGGATTAGACAGCCAACACAAATTGACCATCAGGATTTAAAGGCTACTTTGATCTTCAACGTGTTAAAAACCACTGAAGGGCTCGCTGGCTTGCTACATTCTCTCACAAATGCCAAGAGATATAACCATAGGAGATGTTCTTTTTCATAACAAAACTCCAGCTGAGCTGAAAAATAATAAAAACACACCAGGCTGGACTTACAATATTGCTAAGGCCAGACTCCGTCATATCAAACACTACGGTGAGAGGCATCCCGGGTTCCTTCTTTGCATACCGCTCCAGCCAGAAGGCGACGTACTTCTTCTTGTCCACAACTGTTTTTGCATCCTTGGTGTGCAGCTTCACCTTAAACCAGACTGTATGCAAAGAACAGGATCTGTTTTATTTCTTAAAACAAGTCAGATACGTTAAACACGTCTTTCATGACAACATAATGGCTGAGCCGCCAGTGCACTAGGCATGTGTTGGCAACCAAGATTTTAAAAAGCTACAGCCTCTAGATGCTTTCCATCACAACGTGCCACGATTTAAATTCCCTTTCATGAGATGCAAAAGGACATGCTACAGAAACCAGTGTTTTCTTAACTGTATGTAGCACACAGCTAAGTAATTTAGTAATTGTTTGATTTGGTACAGAAATGAACATTTCAGTAAATGCGGCAGAATTAGCCAAAAGGCTATTTTTCATCTATTATCTCAGGACAACAAACCACCTGTTGCTGTGCACTGGTGGTTAGAGTTGCTTAAAAGTAACATGCTATCTTTACTTACAATATAGACAAGGTTAGATGTTTAAAAGTGTTCTAAAAGTAAAATATCGACAGGTATGGGATTGAAACGAAAGGAGCGCCACCTGTCACTGTCAATAAGGTAACACCTTACTACTCTAAGAAGAGCACTAATATAATATGAAACAAAATTCTTAATAATAAAATGTTTTGGTAAAAATTCATATTATCAGTCTGTGTGGGTAAGGCTGTATTAGAACGTATGCGCACAGAGTTTGTTGCCTTCTCTGTCGTAGCCATGGAGGAAGACGGCACCACTCTCAAACATCCACCTGGGAATGGTGCTCTCACTCACGTCTACAATAAAGAAAAACAAATGACTTATGATGGGGTAACTATCTGACAGAGATACAGGCAACATGACAAGCAAACAGTAGACGCAGTCCGGATGGTGTTGGTTCTCCAAAAATTCACATTTAGAGCCATTTGGTGTTACATTTGGGACATCCTTTACATTTGGATGTGCCAAATGTAAAGGAAATTTACACTTTAAAAAATGTTCCCCAGATTCCTCGCAACATCCCAGAGAAATAAAGCCACACATTTGTTAGCTCTTTTTAAAAGTTGAAGCTAAGAACTAACAGCATGTCGACTGAGTTCTACATCAACATCCAAGTGGCCTGAGACACTAATGACTCAAATAAATCACATTTCCTAAAACAACTCAGAGAAAAATAGAATTTGCCGGATTAAAAGACCAGCAAACAACAAGTCTTTCAAATTTCTCAGGAGAAACAGAGCACATTGTTCTCTGTGGTAACTTATGCATGGAGATATGGCTGTTTAACACACAAAGAGACTCTGTTTTTCCGAGATAAGCACAAGGGCAACCACAGATTTGTGTTAGGAACTTGCAACACATAAACAAATGTCAACAATTCTACTTTGAGCAAAGCTGGATGTTGAACTTCAGTACATTTGAACGCTAGCATGAATGCTGTCTACCACAACCTGCCTTTACTGCTCCTTTTCTCCTTTACTTAATTTCCTCTAGAGTTTCTATATTTATACTTTATGCCAGTGAGCTGTGAGTTATTGAATGAAATGTCAGATTTCTTGCTTGTGCACACAACCTTGGCCAGTGAAGCTGATTAAGCTGAGGATTTTTTCATGAGCATTATTAACTTTAGATCTGTAATACTAAATTCATCATCTCCAGATTTGGGTCCAGTTTCTTTTTAGAGAAAAATTTACATAGTGCTCGAAAGTGGGTTGCTTAGAACAAAGAACTTTTACATTGCTCAAACGTTAAACACTATACAAATGCCAGAAGTAAACTGTGCTCCATTTCAATATAAAACTTAAAAGTGAGTTTGAGATTTCTGGTTTTAGCGCCATGCAAAACATTTGGCATTATAACATCAGCTGCTTTGTTCATTGGTACAGATAGGAGGTAAAAATTGGCAAAAAAAAAATAAATTATCCAGTGGCAAAATAGGAAGACAAGTACATTTCTTTTTACTTTTTAATTATTCTGGCTTTGTTTTTTTGTGTGTGTTTTTTTTGCAAAGTAAGTAAAACAAAAGATGTACATTACCACTAAATTGAAGCTTTTAGAATTAAGTTGCAGTTTTAAATTGACCTGTATCATTTCAAAAGCATTGCAAGGCACATTACAATAAAATGGCATTTCTTTTTCATATGGAACTCTTTTGATGATTAAGACAGTTATTCTGGCTTCTTACCATTTATCCCAAACTCTTTTCTCCACAGTAGACTTTCATCTATCATCTTCAACGTGTCATCAACGACATACAGTCTCCATGTGAGGTAGGCTTCCACCAGAGAATCCTCCTGCTCAATCCTCTCCACATCCCTGGGGTCATACTTATCTGTTGAGTCTACAAACAGCACAAATACTCGATCACATGACTGCCAAGCAGGTCAATCAGTAGGTTTCACTTTCAAACACTCACTGACTTTAACTGTTTTGAAACTTTAATTGTTTGATGGGAGTCCATAATAAACCCTATTAAAGTCCCACGGGAGGTCAGAAATGTTGTATATCTGGGGCATACAGAGCTGTGTATATTAATCGGAGCCCTTCGCGTCCTTCTTGAAGCTTAGCTGAGCTCTTACTGTCAAAGCAAATAAGCAAAAATCTGAATACGTATGCAAACAAAGATAACAATGGAATAGATCCAAAAAAACAAACCAAAAAAATCGTCTGAAGGCAAATTTACTATCCAGTGAGTGAGTACATATCCGCTTATCCACAATGACCGTGTTACCTTTGAGTAACTCATTCTTGAATCTCTGCCTGGTCTCCACTATTTTCTTCTCAAGGTCCTGCCAAAACAGAGTTTGTTCGGGTTAGACTGACTGTTGCGGAATAAACGGTTCTAACGGTCATCAACTACCTGCTCCCCTTGCTGCGGTTCATGCTCTGCCATATTCAGCTGTCCCTTGGCGGCTCTGTGGCAGTTCCGCGTTGTTCGTTTTTTTTTTCTGTTGTTGTTGTTCAGGCTGCTGTTAGCAAACTAGCTGCTCTGAAGAATCACTGCTAAAAGTGTGAAGCTGGGATCCGGACGGTGCCATTTTGGCTCCATTCGTGGCCACGCCTCCGAGGGCTGTTTTATTTTTTTATTTTTTTGCGTGCGGAAAAGAGAATTAGAATGGAAAATTGTCTTTTCGCTGACATTACAAAAAAATCCTGTGAAGGATGAAGCATGGCTATAGATTCAATCATACTGTAGCAAATTCTGTTTGTGTGTTTACAGAAGCTTACCCATAATGCACTTGAATTGACAGGAAGTATACAGTTCCACCAAACCGGGGTGACGCTGAAGTCAGCTTCCGAATGAAAATTGGGCAAAGGGCAATTACAAATCTGTTGATTTAGCAAGTAAATTTTAAACATGATTTTTATCCGCAAAAAAAAATTTCCATCCACGATTTCTAAAACGTCCCATCTGCAAATGGCAATAAAAATGGCAACAACAACAAAAAAGACTGCTACCCTAACTACAAGTCGGAAGCTAACTTCAATGGGAGTATGGCGGGTTATTTTGACTGATACGATCGGCCATAATTGACTGTACTTTTTACAGCGGTGTGAAAAGTTAAGTTTGCGTCTCTGTTCTCCTTACACAGATACATTCAGCACATAGTTATTGCTTTCTTTTCAGCTGCTCTGCCACGAAAGTAACCGGCTCCAACTCGAAGGGAGCGAAGCTGACAGGAATCCTGACATAATGGAGAAGTTGTCATCAGACGACTCGAATCGAAATGTCCACGGCCTCTCACACGGTGGCAAGATAATCCTATTCACCTGCAAACGTGATCCAGCCGTGAATGTAAGCGAAAGAAGCGGCCTGACGTTCCGTAGTTTCTACTTTGAACGTGAAGGCAACGCGTTCCTGAATGCAACAGAGGGAGCAACTGCAGTCAGTAGGAAACCGTCGGCTCGTGTGGACATTGTGACGTGTAAATGCGCCGTGGATGTTCAGAAAAGGGTCAAAACCGCCTTCGTTTTGGTAACAAAGAAGAGTGCGAAGGGAAGCAGCTTCAAATACAGCCTCCTCGCACTGAGAAGCTCACAGCGACTGGAGCCCTGCATTGAGTTCAAGCTCCCCTACCAAATGAAGGGCAAGGTGTGCATCCTTCAGGGTCCCACTGTGCTGTGGAGCCATGATAACAGTGTCTCTTATACATCCCCTCTGGCCGCAGGCGTGCGAACCATCCCCATTCAAATGTCCAAATGTATGTTCGGAGAACTTCCCATCCAGCAGGGGCAACTTTTTGCTCTTGGACTTTCAGAGCCACTTTTAGCTCATCATTCCCCGACACTCGGCTATTTGCTTAAGGGAGGACAGGCGTTTGATGGCGCTCTGATTTTACCACATCCCTACATTTGCATCACACAGTGCATGCGGATTCTCTCTGCTGACAGAGTCGATGACGTGCTGAGATGTGCTGCTATTGCTGCGACTTCAAATCAGCAGCTGGTGCTTTTTGAAAACGGGACCGTAAAAGACACATGCGAGGTTCCCTTTGGGGACGCTGAAGACATTCAGATGGTTGACACAGGAAGAAACGGATGTCTGTTTGTTGTGTCCTTTAAACAAGGCCATGTTTGTGCTGTATGGAAGGAAACATTTCAGGTATGTTTAAACTGGAGTCCGCATTGTTTCAGAAAAGGATGCACATTTCACATTTTATATAAAAAACCCCCAAACAAACCAAAGTTTAAGCTATTTTACTGGATTGTTGTGTGATCAACACAGAATATTGGTTAACTGAAGTGGAAATTTGTTTTCAAATTAACCTACAAATACAAATCTGAAAAGTGTGGCCTGCATATTATGTATTCAGCCCAATTTGATCTATGAGTCTATAAATCCATTATTATTAAATAAGAACAAATCTTTTCCAGATAGCCTCCTGTTGGTCAGACGTCGGCTCTGCACATGTGGATGATTTCCTCGGATGTGGAACAGAACAGATTCTGTTGATTTTTAGAAATAAAGGAATATCCAGTGGACCACTGGAAAAATTTCTTATCACTGACCTCTGTGGTATTTCTTACTCTGTAAGGCATCCGCAGTTACTTCAAGCTATCTTAATTAAGTTTCCTGTTATGGATGATACAATGTCTAATTAAAAAAAAAAATACATGTTTTAGTGTGGTCAAGGCTCTGAAGCACCGAAGGCAAGTCCACCTCCTCAGGAAAACTCACTCCTCACTCTTCAGGCTTTGGAATCCAGATTACAGGTGAGAGTGAAACACATTATAGAAGAACACCCAAAAAGCTGGTCTTTGTGTTAACAGCCTGACGGCATAATTGCACCACTCAAATATTTGCATATTAGATTCATAATTCACAGGAAATTACTGTGCATGCACTGACTGACAATCGTGTTGATACTCCTTGAACTTTTCTGTGTTTTATCGTTGGTCCATCTTGTGTAAAAATAAACAGATTTTACTTATTTGTGTCAAGGGGGGAATCCAAAAAACGTAATTTATTTATTTTATTTTTGGTATGACATGTTGAAAACCATTTGCCATGTTTACTTCCATTTCACTATTGTATACTTCCTTATGCTGGTTTATCACGTAAAATCCCAATGCAAATAGTCTGGCATGGGGTTTTGTAACATAATGATATGTGAAAAATTCAACAGGAAAACTCTGTATATGCATTTTTTTAATTAGCTTAAAAGCCATTTCTAGGTTCTGTGTGTTGAAAAATAGAGTACATCATTCTCATGTTATGGTATGTCTGTGATGTTGAAATAGCTTGACATTGACCTCTGATCATTCGTTCAGTGGTTCATTATGTATGCTGTCTGTAAGGATTTCTCTCAGTCAAATATTATTTGTAATTTAGAGTGGATTGATCGTCCTTCAAGAGCTTGAAAGAGAAGTGAGAGTGAAGGACAGAGTTGTACAGCAATCAATCCAAGTCCTCACTGATGTGCTTTCAGGAAGGGAGACTGTTCTCAGCCAGCCTGAGCAGGTACTGTTCACACATTTGTTTAACTTTTAAAAACTAGCTGATTACATAGGCTCGCTAACTAGCAGTCATCCAATTAACAGCTACTTGTATATTCATGTTATGCTATGCATGACTTTGGAATAATGTACTCTGTAAAATGCTTTCAGAATGACGACTGACCAAAATAAGTAGCTTTTTGTAACAATATTTAATTTCCACAGTATTGTGAAAATAAATGTGCATGAAAATGACATTATAGTCACAGTGACTGACACTGTGAGTATGCATTTACTCACAGTGTGAGTACTAAAGACTAAATGCAACTGGTTGAATCATGTCATAGACAGATATTTTAATTTGGAATCCAGAATTTCATTTGTTTCTCGAGGTGTAAATTTGTATAAGTTATGCAAAATGAAGGGCTGTGTCTTTAAGACACTCTTCAAAATGGGAATGACAAGAAACATGCTATTTAAGAAAGGCAGATGTCTTGATCGTAGTGCAGAGTTTCTGTAAAGACCGGAAAAGTGTAATTTGCAATATGTGATCATGTTGGTGAATAATGTAAACCGGTGGAACAATATTGACACATTGCAATCATGATACATCTGCAATGTTATGTAGCTCTATTTTATTTAATTTTTCCTTCCTTTCTCTTGTTTACTTGCTTTTTTTAATGCTTTATCCCATTGTCCATTTATCCCATAGATTGAATCATAATTCCAAAGCTGCTTTTTATTTTTGGTCAGATTATCTTTTGCTAAATTTAAAATTAATCTGATTCAAAACACATATGATTGACAAAAAAAGCAAACAGAAGAAATCTGCAGGGGTGTGAAAACTATTTTTCACAGCATTGTAGGACACCATAAACCTAAAATGTGTGAGCAGTTTCTTGTGTTTGTTCAGCCAGCCTTTCTTAAAAACACAGACTGGGCTCTGTAAATTTGGAGATACATGTACAGCGTCATGCAACTTCGCTTTTATTATTATGAAGAACGTTTGTTTAGGTGTAAATTTATGTTAGCATTATCATAGCTGAATAAATGTTAACAGGAAAATAGGAGCTTAGTTTTTGGATTAAGGAAATTTTGCAAGAGCCACAACATTACAATAGTTTTAAAAAATGGGGGAAAAAAAGTCACATTTTAAACAGTATATTATAGGTTGTTATGCCAGAAAAAGTTGCTTTGAATAAAGCAAAGGCGAAACAAAAAACCTCAAATATTTTACAAATGTAGTCAAATTTATTCAGTTAAATGTCTGCACAAAAAATAAATATTGTTTGAAGTCTTGATCTTAATTCCAAACTTTTGCACTATCCTCATTCAGGCCCAGTTTCAAGAATAAATCTGCTTTTAGTTGAAGGAGGATGTTTTATGTATGTGGTGCAATGCTGTAGAGTTATGAGAACAGTGTCAGTTTCTAGACAGGAGTGGTGAGGAAAAATATCTTTTTAAATCCTGCACATTGTTTCTTTTTTTTTTTTTTTGGACAGCTTCCCCACCCTATGAGACTGGTATTTCTTCTTGGGGTGCACAGCCTTAAAGGGAGAGTAGTTCTTGAACAACCAGTCTTCCAGCCCAACCTATAGGTGTAATTCATGTCATGTTCATTTTATGAGCTGACAAAGATGTAAGATTGTCTTAAATTTTCAAATACATTCCTTATGTTGCCTTTTTTTTTTCTTTTCTTTTTTTTTATATTTTTGCAGGCAGTGAATAGAATTAATTCATTTTTAAAATGTCCATTATTATATGATTTTTTTCTACAAGTTCTCTAAGCAATTTACCATGACAGATATTTGTTCTGCACTGGCTGACAGGTAGTTGAAGTAGAATTAAAACTTGTCTGAACAAGAACTTCCTGTCACTTGTCCGCCCTATTCAATGAATAAAAGAAAACGGTGTTACTGAAACAAAAAGGTGACAAACGGTTTTGGTCCCTTCAACAAGAACGTTTCAGTGCAATTAGTTCAGCTGACTGAATTAAAGGGATAGTTTGACTATTTTGAAGCCATATTCTGTCCAGCTGTTAAAGGGAGTAGAAGCCAGCAGCGGTTAACTTAACTCTCCAGAGATTATCCAGAGTTGTACATATTGCAGACTGCTCCGAAATTCTCCTCAGAACTGTATTCCAGAAGACCTAACTGTAGCAAGAATGTTACCCACCTTTGCCTGTACACAGTTGTCAATGTATAGTCCTCGAGGGCCAGTGTCCTTCAACTTTTAAGTGTGTCTCTTTGTCAACCAGCCTGGAACTGTTTGTGTTTCAGTGAAACACATAATTTGGTACTCAGCAAGTCTCTGTATAACCTTAGTACACAAGAAGATAATTTAGTCCTTTAATTCAGGTGTGTTGGAATTGGGAAACATTTAAAAGCTACAGGATGCCAGCCCTCAAGAATTGGAGTGTGACACTCCTGGTTTGAATTAGAAGTAGAAGTAAAGGTACTTATCAAGCTACATATTTCACCTATCTTCTTGGATTAAAAATCGTAAAGCTCACTTATTTTAGTACTTTTCCAGGGTTTAAAGGATTATTTAGAATTGTTTAAGAGGGTTTAGATAAGGACCTTTTCATAAGCTTAGCAATATCCTGCTTTGACCATTCTAAAACCTGTTTAATGTGTGATTGGATTCATTGTCCTGGTGGAGCATCTAGTCGCGTCCAGGTTTCAGTTGGATGGCTATTTATATTTGAGGTCAAGATAAATAATTTCAAGGTAGTTCTCCTTTATTGATCTATCTTTGTAAAATGCACCAATAGCAAACAGCCCCTCTGCAAGCACAGACCTTGACTACTTCCGACCAATTTTTTGTCATTGTTCTCAATGTGGACAATGTTTTTGTCAATCATTGTCTCGTCTGACCATAAAACATTTCTCCCGAAGACATTTAGGTTGTTTGTACATTCATTTTCAATTTTTAGTTGATATTCTAGGTGTTTATTTTTGGAGGAGGGACTTCTTTCTTTCTAGCCATGTTGATGTTAATTTCCCTTTACAATAAAAAAGTTGCATTGGTGTTTCCAGCAGTTACTGGTCCCTGCATTGTTGCTGATTCACCTGACTAATTTCCTTCTATCTGAGGCTGGCAGTTTGGGTCAGATGTTTGAAACTTTTACACAAACAGTGTTCGGATCTGTGTCAGGAAAAAGCACCAAGATTTCGTACACATAGTCATGTCAAAGTTTTTTTTTTTTTTTTTTTTTGTTTTTTTTTTATTGTTGCTGAAGCAGGAGAGCAGAACAGCAGATACATGACATATTTGACTGATGCTAAAAGCAGCATGAAGTTCTTAAACTTTGCTGATCAGCTTGGTGTGTTTTTTCAGATTATTTACTGCTACACCGGCATATTCAAAGGCGCTAACCATTTAGCATTTCCCAAAGATACTCATCAACATAAAATATAATTAGTAAAAAAGGATGTCAAAATTAACTGAGTAAAAAATATTGTAGTATTTCATTGTTTCAGTTTGGCAGCAGTATTCTTTAATTTGACATAGGATTGAGAAACTGTGATTGTGCCTAAAAAGCTAACTGAAATGTTTGACATGAATTGCCGCTTCTGCTGCTAGTTGTGTCACCCATGTGTCATTCTTGGTTACGGTCTCTGTGCTCTCTGTGTAGGAAGGCCTTGTTGCCCTGTGGGACAGTGATGAAGAGTCCAATGATGAGACTCTGGATGACAAGTTGCATGAATCGCCGGCGCTGTCTTCCAGACCTAAAATTGACCAGCTGTGGCATCGCATCACTGAGGAGCAGCTGGTTGTTGGACTGATACTAACCGCTGACAGTGGCATGTAAATGTGATATTTTTTCTTTTCATGATGTACATAGTGTAGATTTGTCTGTAGCTGGAAGAGCATAAATGTACAAAGCACTACTAGATTATAATTTCCTCTAACCTGTAGTTGCATAGCGTTTCCTGGGTTGACTGTTTTTGCCAGCAAACTGTCAGATTAAAGTTGGCAGGGTGATCGTCATCATCTTGTGTGGAAACAAGAACCTCTCTTATACTTTCTGATACTTGAGGAGATGTGAAGAAAAGCTCCCCTTGACGTGACTGCCTCTGGCACTCGTGCGGTTTTGTTTTTATTGCTGGTCTTTGCGACTGATACAACCTCACCAGCTTGTTGGGGTTTAATCAGTCAACCATCTGCGCTGCATTCACACACACACACACACACACCCCCCCACACACACACACACACACACACACACACACACACACACACACACACACACACACACACACACACACACACCGACTCTAACTTTGTGTTTAATTTCCAGTTTTATCATGGGCTATCTGTGTGATATCTGATTGTTCATGATGGTGTTATTTTTGTTCCAGACCAGTGAGCGGTGTGAGTTTATCCCTCCTGACAGAGCCGAGCCAGAACTCGACGCCTGCAGTAATCCAGACCCGGAGCCAAGTGTTCTGGCTGCCTGTGCGCGGCCCCTCGACACCAACACTCTCCTCCCCATCGTCTGGCTTTACGTTCTCTGAGCCCGCAGCCAAAAGAAGCAGGCAGCACATCGCCAGCGATGATTTCAGTGCATGTAGACTGGCTGTGACTGCAGTGACCAAGCTGGCACCTCTGCTGACCTCTGGCTGTGTCAAGTGCCATGCCATGCTTCATTACGTGGAGAAAGCAGAGGCTGTTTTCCCTGGGAGCAGCCCAACAACATCTGTACTCCACTGTGGGGAAGTTTCATTAGAAATGCATGATCTTTGCCAGAAGCCGCTTCTGCAAAACCCTCAAATAAAAGCAGGTAAACTTCAATAATTTGTAAACTCAATATTTCAATCATAAAACATTTATTGCTCATCATTTTCTCTTATTTTATTTTTAGATGAGGTTAGAGAAGACCTTCTGAGTCTGTTGACTGTTCTGGATGATTGGGTTTTGCGCATAGACTCTCCAGATTATAGCTTGGGTGACATAGATGGCTGGATCAAGAGGAGAGAGGATTTTAAAAAGATAGACGTGAGTCCCGAGTATCTGCTTTTAGATTCTCCTGGATCTTCAGCTCCAATGCTTCTGCGCTGGCATCAGATAAACCCTTTCCAAGGGGATTTATCCATCCACAGCAGGTAAGGTAAACCATTTCCACTGATTGATACGATTAAGAAAGCCAAATTGCTGCCCTCAGACTTGCACATACTGTACCTGCAGGAACGTTGACCTTTGCCCCATTCTCAAGTCTTCTTACACATTTTGACCCATGATTGGACTGTGTTTAATTCCATCCAATTTATAGTAAACTTTGACCAGCTTTAATCATTATATTCTCTTTATTTGCTAATTCTGAGCTACTTTTGTTTTTGTCTATCACATTATATCCAGTGAAGCATGATGTACCATAAAAAGTTAAATGAGAACCTTATATAGTAAAATCAGAAAACTGTGACCATTAAGAAAATTTGCACTGAGGATTAGTGTGCTATATCCTTTGTCCTCATACATTTTAATATTGTTGCCCTTTATGTCCTATAAAGTTGACCTTTTTTCATCTTTCCAGTTTGGCCATTTTCAGAATAATTATTGGTATAAAATACCAAATCCTGCTAATATGATTTAAAGCTATAAAATATCCAGAGTAGAGATTTCTTGTTCAGCTGCCAGCTGCAGTATCTCTACTGTGAGTATTAAATTATGCCATTTTTGTGGATGGATACAGAAAGGTAGTTCTGCTGAATTTCCATAAACACATTCCAAGTTGACAAGCCTTTGAAGTTGGCGAAGGTGTACGTATGTGTGATGTTCTCTGGAATATCAAAGAGATTTTGGAGCTCCTGCAAGCAGTGCTCTTAAAATTACAAATCCCACTAATGAATACAAGAAAGGTAGGTCTCTGGGAATCAGCTGACACATGACAAAAAATGATAAAAAGGCTGTATCACTTTTTTTTTATCCACTGCAGTGTGTATACTGTTGTAACATAAAAAAATCTGTTTCCATCCCTCTTTTGCAGCCAATTACAAATGCTCCAGTTCTTGGACTCCATGCTGTCGTACCTTCCTGATTCCTGCTTCATCCAACCTGTCAATCGCGCAAGAAGTCAGAGCACGGCTCAAAAATTAGCTTTTGCTCTAGAGAAAGAGGTGCTGTCACTCAGAGAGGGCTTATCCTCACTTCTGTGTGTCAAAGATGAAGAAGAGAGAACCAAGGGGCACGCTGGACACGCTGAAATCCCTGATTCTGGTTCTGCTGAGGATCTCATTAGGTGTTGTAGGGAGGCGTGGCAGCAGAACGTGGAGAAGAGCCGGATGAGGCTGAACCCCGTGGTGGATGCCGGGAGGTATCGTGAGATGATCCAAAGTATTTCACAAGTCAAGATGGATTCAGATCTGGCCGCTCTGCGTCAGCTGTATCAATCATAGAGACGGTTTCTGCCCTGTTTATGATTATGTTGGATCATAAACATAGCTATAACAGATTTTTTTTGTGCTTGGACTGGTCATTAAAAAAGGAGATGATGCTTCAGAGCAACTGTGAATCTTCACTGATATCTTGACCACTTGATTTATGTGGTAAATCACCCTAATCTTCTGCTTTCTCCACTGATTCTTAAGTTGGGACCCTGGCTGAACCACTCCAAAATGTTAATGTCAATCCAGTCGGGAAAAAAACAAACACATTGGTGAAAATGCAACATTTATTTCAACCTAAATGTGGAAGGAACGTAAATTATTTTAGGCTGAACTGTAGGCCTATACCATATCTCAAATCTATATTTTTACTCTAATTCTCTAATTATCTTCTACCTGATTCCTCTCATTCATTTCCTGTTTGTATTTCCTTCCTCTCTTGACTTTAAATTAAGTCAGTTATGCAACAAGGAGAATTTTCCTTTTTCTCCTTTGATAAAGCTTATGTTTCACACATTAAGGCAACCAGAGCCACAAAAACAGACATGTAAATAAAAAATAAATTAAAAAAAAAAAACACTAAATTGTGAAATTAGTTTACTCAGGCTGTTAGATTGTCATCTGTCATTCTCTTTGGCCGAGTGTTCAGTCCACGTCTGTTGGATCACCTCGTGGGACTCAGCCCTAATCGGATACTGTCGTGATTCTGTCCCTTCTTATTCATTGCACATCCCTTTAGACCCTCCGTGTTAGAAAGGCTTCTTTAATATCTGTAGCTGCTGCCTCTGCTGTGTGCTATTCTCCAGGGAATAAAGACTAAAGTTAGGGACAGCAGGTCGTGGCAGGGAAAATCTTTATACATTTTCTGGCTGGTTGTATTTGCCCAAAAGCTTTTAGTGGTACTTTACCCCCATGGTCAAAGTATTTCACTCTTCACTGATTTAATAAAAAACAGCTTTTCTTTTGATGTCATGCAGACCATCCTCACCGCAGTGATATTCAACTCAATACACAAATTAGATACATAAGGTCAGTGTCAGCTTGACCAGTTTGGCTTTAAGGTTTTCTTGTCTTTTTTTCTTTTTTCGCAGTTTGCGTTTGCTTAAATATCATTTCCATTGCTTTTTTTTAAAAAAAAATACATATTTTATTGTTCAGACCTAGATTAGTATGGGGAAAAGAAAAAAGTAAGAAAAAAATATAGTTTTCAGATTTCTTTTTTTGAATCTGTGAAAATGTTTTTTTTTTTTTAAATAAAGTGCCCTGACATTATATCTTTGATTTTGTCCCCCTCACATAACCACTTCAAAATTTGTTCAACTCATTGATTATTCTGTTTTTTAGTTATTGACGGAAAACCAAAGAATAATTTTATTAATTTGCATTAAAAACGAAAAAAGTTTAGCTACCTAACAACATTGAAACTACAATTTTTGTTTTTAGGTAGTACTTTTTCAAAAGGAATAAGAGTTGAAAAAGTTACACATGTTGCTTTAAAGAAAGCTCTGTACTTAGTTATATCCAGATTTTCTGAGTTTATATTTTATAGACTTGCTATGGATCTAATCCATGATATATTGATCCACATCGTTTGTGTGGATGCCTTCTTTTGCTCGTTTTATCCCACGTCTGAATAACACACCCGCAGCTCTTTTTGGTGTGATAGTCACTTCTGTCACTTCACACAACAAAAGCTAGAGATGAAATTTAGCAGTGAACAAAACCAAGAAATAGCCCAGGGGGAAATGGATCACATGTGGAGAAGAAATTTTTTTCAGAATCTGCTACCTTTAGCACAAATTCAGAAGAAGTCAAATGAAATATTTCTTTTGACTGCCGTCCAAATGAAATGTTTGCTTTGTTTTCTGATCATCATCTGTTAATGTGTATTCAGCCTGAATGGTAAGAGGATGCTGCAGGGTTTTTACCTGCTGAAACCTCTCACCTGCCAAAGTCTGTGATTGCTTTGTGTGACTCATGGGAGTTGCTGCAAGCAGCCAGAATCTTACCTGTAACAAGTAGCCCTCTGAATGACCTCTGCTTGAAGAAACAGATAACTTCTGACCAGAGACTTAACACCAATTCTGCAGCAGTTGATGTCAGTGATGATATATAACATATAATTTATATATATATATATCTATATATATATATATATATATATATGTATATATATATAGATATATATATATCTATATATATATATACATCTATATATATATATAGATAGATAGATATATATATATATATATATATATATATTTGCTTCTAAAAGCTCAACTTTGCTTTAAAGTATTGGTTATAATTTCTACTTTATATTTTACTCTATCCATCTTCCTGCCAACTGTGACCTGTTTTCTTGTCTCTGCCACAGCATAATGCTGCCACCACTACTTTTAACCATGTGGATTGTGTTTACAGTGACATGCAGAATTATTTCCAACCCAAATGTAGAGTGTTAGATGTACACCATAAAGTTCAATTTCGGTCAAATCTATTTGGAGCGCTTTTTTTCCAAATATTTGCTGTGTTTCCTTCATGACTTACTGCAAACTGAGCTTTCAAGCGCTTTCATTCAGCAACGACTTGCTGAAAGAAGGCAAATTATTGTTCAGAGCTAATGGAAAAGGAGGACAAAAATTTAAACTGGTGCATTTACAAAAAGGCATTAAACAGCAGTGGACATTTTGTGGCTTAAATACTACGCCATAATTTAATTCACTCAGCTCTACATTACCAGCTACAATTTCAAACTTCAAATCTTGTTATCAATGAAATTTGAAATCAATTGCTTTTTTTTATTGTTGCTTTGGAGATAATTATCAGTCCTTATTCAAAACACATCCTAATAAAATCCTGCATTCACCAGAATTTTATTAGGATGCTAAGAAAAACTGAACAGAGCAGTTAGAGCCCATTAATTAAAATGCTGTGCCGTGAAACGGTCAGTTTGCTGTCTGGTATCGATCCAGATCACAGGGTTTCCACTCCTGTTGACTCTGAATCTCACTGTGTCAGCCAAACAGAAACAGAATTCAATTATTATACCTACTACATATGCCTGATGCTCAGCTGTGTCTGAGCACAGACATCAGACAGAAATCTGATCCATGTTGGAAACATACTTGTGCTTCTATACTTTCAACATTGTTTCCTCTTTACTAGATATTCAAATTTAGTTATCTTCATCTTTAAGACAAAATTATAAAGATGTTTTTTTTTGTATCATTACAGACAACAAATGGCACATAATAGATGGATAATGTTACTTTGATTTGCCAGGCAGCCATTTTTTGGTCCACAGTTGCCATAGATGTGCTTGAACCCGTCTTACCAGAAGCTGCTGGTCTTATATTTCAGTTAGAGTCGATGGAGCTTAAACAAAACCAAAAAAATAATAATAATCTGCAGAAATCTAGTGAACAGTTTTCTACTTTGTCCAGTGTATGCTATACTGTACAAGTTTTCTTTCTTCCAGAAGTTGAAGAAATTTTTCTCGGTGAATCATTACACATTCAATCAGTGACAAAGTGATTTAGTTCAATATTTATGTCTAATCATCAGAGCTAGTTCTGGTGAAGCCATACACAAAGTGCTCTTAATGACATTAATTTCCAGCATTTCTCCCACCAGTCTTATCAGCAAATGTGCAGCTACCATGGCAACCTTCATTTGTAGCTTCTCCGACACCTCAAAGAGCACTCTTAATAAACCTTATGAATGAGGACAAATAGGATTCACGTTAAACGGAGTTAAAATGTGGAGGTGCAAGTAATTTCTTTCTCCTCTAAATTGCTTAGGCAAATGGTTCCCAAAGATTGAATCCCCTCCACCTCCCTCGGTGGTTTGCAAAGATTTTCTGGGCCCCTCTTTGGATTAAAATAAAATCCCCCCCAAAAAGAAAAAAAAAATCAACTGGGCACACACATCGTTAAACCAGACATAAAACTATTGTACACATATTTCGTTTTGAAACTCCACTGAAGTTTATTTCACGCTTCAGCTTGCAGCAAAACACACTACAAACCATCTTTACAGTGAAACACTTTTGTTTAACTGTTTTTTTTTTTTTTTTCATTCATTAATACTGCTTAACACCATGGGGTGCGCCCCACACTTAGGGAACTACTGGCTTAGGCTGTTAAATTAAACCTTGCATTTAAAAGGCCTTTTACTGGCATCGAAAGGTTGGTGCAGCGTGAGAGTGACGATTGTTTCGAGTAACTTGCTAACTGTAAGCTACTCATTTTTAAGTTTTGCTAATTTCTTGATAATAGAAATTGAATTATCAAAGTCTTGATAACTAAAATAGCAGCTTAAAAAGTTGAAGTAAATCATCCCTGTGGCATAATGCTGCCAGTATCTCGCTTCACAGGGAGAATGTTGTGTTCAGGGAGTGTGTCTAGTGTTATTGTTCTGCTGTAAGGCAAATCTTTGTTCCTTACATCTTCCCATCAGTCATGAATTGTTTCCCTGTCCCCGCTGAGTAAAGGAAAGTCCACAGTATGATACTGCTACCGCCTTGCTTCACAGGGTTATTTGCACTTTCTGAGCTTTGGACCTCTTGGCTCCCTCCTTGAATTTTATTGGAGAACTCCAATGTTTTCTAATAAATCTCTGAGGTTTTCTATTCACTGGACAGTTTCATTTATGCTGAGATTAAGCATCCCGTAGGTGGAAGTAGGCTTCTTCTGGGGGTAATTACATGGACCAGCCTTTATTTAGGAGTAGTATGAAAAGAAAACTCTGCTGTCCTTCAGTGAGCTTGTGGGTCTTAACATTGAAGAGTCCTTAGAGCGCTTTGGCTTTGATACAGCTACTATTCAGGAACAGATGGCAGAAACTTTACTCAAAATCACTGGGTTGTGGAATCCATTGGAGAAGTCAATAAGGTGACAAAAGTATTTAGGTTTGCTTTCTGGTTTCATACCAGAAAGTAGAATGCTGGTCACTATTGCTCAGTGCTCTGCGTGCTTGTGCATCGTGCAGCATGCAATAAAAAAAAGAGAAAAGCTGCTCTTCCTGAGATAGCTGCAAAGGTCAGTGCATGAAGTGATCAGGCTCTTGGAAATAGCACATTGACAGCTATCTTGAGTAGGAAATTATCACGATTTGCTGTGCAGCCACCTCTAATTACAAAGGTGAGCGCACATTTGAGTGTTTATCTGAGCAGACTCATCATCACCTGTCTACACAGAAGTACAAGAGTGACATGGTCAGAGGAGTCATCCTGTAGCTTGTTGCTCACAAGGGAACAGGGATGGGTAGTCTGAGCGCCAGCACTGTGGCTCTGTTAGAGCATAATGTCCTAATCCTGGGAATCAGACATTGTGGAAGTGTTCTCCATCAGAATGACTCCAACAAAGGAAACCAAATTCAATCTGTTCCATATTGAACATACTGAGCATTGCATCAACTCAATATGTTCCGTATTGTTATGTTCTGCTCATAACTTAACTATGTAAACTCAACTGAACCTCAGTGGAACACGACTTAACTTTATTCAATGTTTTTCCTTAGAACACAGTGAGATCTATGCGCTGATACTACATGTGGTGTTCTTCTGCATACAACATAAAATAGTGCCATTGAATAATGCATTGTTTTATCACATACATAAGAGGTATTAAATTGATGCAATTCTTTCATCCTTGTACAGTTCCTTGCAAACATATTCATTCATGCTCCTTTCTCATAGCCAACCAGTTTGATATAATATATTGGGATTTGATGTGATGCTTTCCAGGTACTCTGACTTCACAGAACAAAATCATGACTGCTATGTTAATTTGTTTCTCTACATTGCTCTTAGGTGCTAAGTGTTTGTTGTTTAGCTTGTCCTACAATGAGACGAAATGTAAATCAATCCGAGGGGTGTTACTACTTTTGCAAGATAAGGAGTCATTGTTTTTATGATTTTTTTAATGATGTTTATTCCCAAAAAATAAGTAAAGCATGATGCCTATTTGCTCTTTGTTTAGTAATTCACCACATTTTTGCATCTCGGTTGATTTATTTCACAAACTTCAGATCGAGCAAATGCCTTTTCTGAACACATGGCATGGGTAATATGAATTATTGAGGGCATTTCTCCATTGTTTTCTCTTCTGGATTTGTGGGTCAGGCAGTAGTCAAACACAAAGTGACAGAATCTTTAAACTACAGTGTGAAGTCCATTATCGTCACACATTCTTTGAATACCCACTGTCAGAACACATCTTCCTCACCCGAGGCCACCCAGTGATCCATCACTCATGTCATCACCCTGACTTATTGGCCTGGAGAGGAGAGGAAAGCATTTCCCATATTCCGTGATATGATTCTCCACATTGCCTTGATGACCAAACATTAACAATGATTAAACTTGTGCATAGTTTTCAAAGTTGGGTTAAGTTTAGTAGTTAATATAAATCTATGGCAGGTAACTGAAATCAAAAGAGAGAGAGTGTAGCACCAGTGTCTAGCTCCAGCTGTCATTGGGCGTAGTGAACACCCACCCTGGAAAATGTCACCAGTCCATCATAGGTCAATACAGAGACACAGCAAAAACAATCATGCATGCCCACATTCATACTTAAGGGCAATTGACTTAAAATAATGTTATTGGACTGTGATAGGAAGCTGGAGTACCCAGAGACAATCCATGCATGCATGGGCTTGCAAATCCCGACCAGAGGTCGGGATTCAAACCTCCTTGCTACAAGCCAACAGTGCTACCAACTGGCCACATTTAACAAAACCCCATGTTCAAAATTTTGAACAACCCTACTACTTTCTTATAGATTTCAGGAGAGGACAGGGTAAACATGATGCACAGTCAGTTTTATTGATTTACAAGCCAGTACATAATCTTTCTTCATGAATAGCATTTAAGAAAAGATATTTCCCAGGAGTGCAATTGCCATTAGCTGCTCTGTACTATGAATGTTGAATGAAGACTTGTTCTTCACTGCTGATTGCATCCATGAATACTCAAAGTGAAGGAAATAGTCTGCAGTGGAAGCTGAATAGGTTCACACAAAGATATCAATTTTATAAACATAACCTTTGAGTCATTACAATAAATATTTCATTTAGCTAAATCTACAAAACAGTACGAAATATACCTGGAGTAATTACCTGGGGTATAAATAAATATGCATATGACAACACAGAATAATGTACAATCAGAGTTTGCTTGCCCATTTATACATTTGTTTAAAAATCAGCTTGTGACAGCTTATTTAATAAATCACTTCAAAAATGGGAGCCAGAAATTAAAAACACATGAACAAAATTCACAACGTTGTGTGACATCAGTTATCCGTGAATACTTGTTAGATAGAAGCGTGAAAAAATACAAGAGCATAGCACTTCATCCAAACCAAATCAAATATCTAAGGCTTCAGGTATTTCATAAAAATGGAATCTCCAGACTTCTTTCCCAGGCTTCCATCTCCTTCCTTCACAGCCATACCTGAGACATGTGCAGCTCCTTAATATTTAATACATCTATACATGCTCTGCTTGCTTAGAACTTACTTTAGACAGAGAGGAAGAAGTGCCAAAAACAATACTACACTATAAAACAGTTTGAACATCCTCGATAAGAAATTTTGCATCAAAAAAGTCTTTGAAGAACTAAGCTAGCTACAGTCACAAACCTGTGGAATGTTTCCTTTTGTTGTATAGATGCCAGGGCTGAGTGATTCAAGGGGGTTTTGGTCCATCTTCTTCAGCAGCGCATTAGATATTACGCAGCAGTAAAACAACGAGCAAAGCATCTTTTTCTCTAGAACCTTCACCTCACCAGATAGAATAGCATTTGATCTTTATAACACATGAACATTGTACATTATCCCTGAAAAAGGATATCCATTGGCTCCATGGTGCCTCTCGGCACACAGTTTCCCGACCATTTCTCAATTTGAGAAATGGAAAGATAAAACGTTATCAGCAGAGGGTTAAGTCATTTCTGTTTGTGAACATCTTCGTGTCGAATGATCTTGTATGTGATCCAGTAGAAGACGTTGAAGATCAGAAAAGCCAGCGGGAAGGCCGCCCTGGAGATTGTGTCTATCCGCTTAGCTCTGTCCACAAACTTTTTCCTCATAGCATCTATGTCCTTTGGAGTTGAAGGCTGGGGGTTCGTGGCAGGAACTGCATTCTTAACAGCTGAGCCATCCTTTGTTGGCATGCACTGACTCATGTTGTACCCAGTTAAATTAAAGCGGCCTTCATCCTCCTGAAAAACAAGTGGATATGTGGATGATAATTGTATGTACGGCTCAAGTGTCATGCTTTGCGTTTCAGTGGCCAGAGGCATGCATTTCTGTAATACTGTGATTATACATGAATGTTAATCACTAGATATTACAAACTCTTCTAAATTAATTAGAATTCACAGGATAACCAGATGCACTTTAATGAAAAAGCAATAGTATGACTGCTGCAGGGGTTGAATCTTAATTTCAACCAAACAATAATAGTGCAACGCATCTTCCATTTCACATTTACCTGCAACTTTCTGCAGTTGTACCAAAGAGCAGAATGGAGGCTGAGGGGCATGTCAGTAACTTCCTAGTAATTACATACGCTCAGTGTTTACTTTAATGTTTTCAGTAAACACAACCCTCTTTCATAGAGAAATTAAACATTTTATGATGTCATTTGATTAATATTTGAACAGCTGTGTGAACTAGACACACTCACAGTAAAGACACAGATTTTAATTTATCACTTACTTATCAAGTTTTGAATGTGGCATAAGGGTATGAAAAGATATAGAGTTCCCAGTTCTGTTGGATTACAGCAAAGTAAACTTTCAGATAACTCTCCCTTTTCCCTTATTTATGCTTAATAATGCCTAAATATCTTGGGCTGAACGTCATATGTGCCCTGGTACAGGACTGCCTCCAAGTGTGCAAATAATTCTTAGTTAAATTAATCATAAAGTCAGTTTAAGTTTATTTTGCAGTAAGCTCTTTAAAATGTCTAAGGCTTAGAAGCTTCCAACTTTCTAACTCAAAAAGTTTGATGTTGCTTTTGCTTATATTTATTTCTTGTTATTAGCGCCCCCTATTGCTCAACCTTTGCCAAACCTTGCAAATAGCTTTTTATTTACATCATAAAGAAAAACACAATTTCAAGCACAATTTACTCAAGATGTAATAAAGCAAATGAATAATTACAGATACACTTTTTGTCATGGAATTCTAAAAATATTCTCAGGTGAGAAACTCTACATCTGGAAAAATCAATAATATGAAAGATTTTATAGAAAAGGCCTCATAAAGAATGATGCCAAATTTAAAGGCGGTTGTGTTAAATGAACTAAAGCTAAAACTGCTACCTTCAGTTGCAAACTTCTGATTAGAGTGACAGGGTGTCCGATAAACCATTAAACTAACAAATGTGTAGCCTTATTCAGTGATTATGTTTTTTTAAAAATAAACAGCAAGGTGCTTTTGTGATTTATTCTAAAGGTCTGATTGAGATCTGCACATAAGTCACGTCTTTGGGCTATGAGGGGCCAGGGTATTCACCTGATTGTTGGTAAAATGTCCGGTAAACCTGTGCCTCTCTTGACCTGCTCTTTCCATAAAGTCGTGTTGCACCTGCTTCCAAAATACTTTTTCTTACTTTTTGAAGGTGATTTTTGTATGTAGTTGGAAAAGAAAACTGAGCCACAAAGTCACACTGGTGTGCACTAAAAGTGTCCAACACAAACAGCAGCCTTGTGAAATCTTTGAAACCTTACCTTGTGATTCCTTCTCTGTCTTCGCCTCAGGCGGAGGAACTCTTTCTGTTGCCTGGAGACAAAATTAACCCCAGCATATTCTAGCAATGCAGCAAATACAAAGAGCAGACAGACAGCCATCCAGATATCAATGGCTTTCACGTACGAGACCTGAGAGACAAAACAGATTTTCTTTGTTAGACCCAACAAGGTGACAGCATCAACTCACAAATCAAATGCAGCATGAATTTTTGATTTCACTTTAAACTGTGATCCAACTATGAAATTTAAATCAGAATGTCCTTTATTTATTGACTTGATTCGCTGCAACCTTTATTACACATTTTGTTAGCTGAATGTGTCATTCAAATAAATGTCAATAAGGGTACGTATTTTAAGTGTTTGCTTGGAAGAGTTGCTTGGTTGCTGTTGATGTCAGTGTGAGACTGAAAAATAATCAGTTGTACCTTTAATGCCGGTTTTGAGCTGTAATCTTTGGAAAGTTAAGCATGAAGTTTGCAGTTTTTCCTTCCTGTTCCTGAGACCTCACCTGTTCATCACACTGAATGGCTTGTTTCGAAAGCAACTCAAAAAATCAGAGGACCCTTAAAGGCACACTGAGTTAATGTTTCCATGAGTCAAAGCTCTCAAAAGCTCCTCTTGAAATATTTATCAGCATGTCTGTGTTTTTCATGTCTTTCATGACGCCGACTATAGCCTTTGACAATGATGAGATTGATTGATCGTTGAGATCCAACTCAGTGTGCTGGAGGACTCTTCACAGTGAGTGCGTGCCTGTTTTTCCATAATTGAAAATAGACGTTTGCAGTGTTGCTCTGCTGTTTGTAATGCATACATGGTCTCTGTGACAATCATGCAAAACCAATTGTGATGTTGACTTCAGGGTACATTGAATGAGGAATAGAGTCATTCTTATTTCTGATTAAAGACAGCCGTGTCATTTGAGTACAATATGCATTTAGTAGTTATTTTATTGTGTCATTGATATTTGATTTGTGTTTGAGTTTCAGTTGAGTGAGAGCTTCTCTTCTGAAACATTGCTGTCATAGTTTTGAGTGCTATCAAAATTAACTTAAAATAAAGACAAAATGCGGTGAGTGCAACTGATCTAAGCATTACAGACTTAAGTTTACATGTAGCAACTCCATGGTTTTTTTGTTAAAGCCTTTTGTGATCTTTGCCTTTAAAGGTACAAAATAAAAATTGGTTTTTATTTACATATTTTTTGTAAAAACAGAACACTCATAAAACATGAGTGTTGCTTGATTGGTAAAATTCAGTGATCTGACATAAACACCCTGGGACAGTTTCCATAGGCTTATTACGACTTGACTGTCACATTACTTTGACTTTTCAGTGGTCAAAACATCAATGCTCTTCAATCATTTTTAAACACATGGACTGAAGGCACAAATTAGACTTTCACTTCTCCAATTTTCCTTCTCTCTTCTTTTAGACAAACCATTATTTTATGATGTGTTCAAATCTTTCCATGAGAGTATGTATTCAGCTTCTTCTATTGACAAGTCAGACAAGGAGAGTGTTAATCAGACAAGCAATCAAGAGGCCGACTCTGGAAGAGCTGCAAAGACTCTCAGAGGGGCCAGGGTGGGGGTTAAAAATCAGGTCATATACAACTATCACTTGTGAAGTGCACTAAACTAGCTTTTATGGAGAAGTGGTAAAAAGAAAGCAATAAGAAGTCCACTTGGGCATCTGCCACAAGCCACGCAGGGAGAACAGCAAGCAAGTAGAATGTACTCCAGTCAAAAGACATCAAAACGCAACCTTTTTGCCTTAAATGTGGCAAAAAATAAATACTGTCCATTAACTTGAACACATTATCCCAACCATAAAACATAGTGATGGCAGCAGCATATTAGATGAATGGATCTAAATACAGGGAAAGGAGTTTCAGGAGTATTAAAACAAGACAGTGTACTACGGCCACATGTTCTACTGGAAGCTTTTATGTACCTCTGAATGACATTTTGCACTAAAATATAAGATCTGTCATCCTGCATGTTACTTGATGGTCAGAGAGAAAAAAGCAATTGTACCTTTGGAAGAGAAGCTCGAGAGCCAGAGCTTTGAGTGGTCATCGTAAGCACAGTGGTGATGCCCAATGCCACTCTTGCAGGAGCAGCATCCATATTTATCCAAAAAGACACCCATGAGAGGATGACAATGAGAAGTGAAGGAATGTACATCTGGATCAGGTAGTAGCCCATCTGTCTTTCCAGGTGAAATTTAACTTCGATGCAGGTGAATTTACCTGCAGCATGGAAACAAATGTAATTCAATTAGACAAATGTAATTCAGAGAGATTAGGTTACTTAGACAGGGTGTGTTTAGTTGTTTTCTGACCAGTGTTGTAATGCTTAGTGCAGTAGCCCAGCTCTTTCTCCTCTCTCATAATGAACTGAGGCAGGGTGAGTCCCTCTGACACCTGCACCGCGCCGTTCTCCAGCCACTCAAAAACCAGGTCATTCATGGTGTAGCCGACTGAAGGTAATAAATGACGGGAGGAGTTTAGATACAGAGCAGATTTTCCATCAGAAGAAGAAGAAGAGTCCAGAAAACAACATAAGAAAAATATCAAATGCTCACAACTTTCCAGCTGCATCGTACAAGTCTGAACATCCATTGGAAAGTTTTTCAGATCCATCGGACAAGACAGAATGAGAGTCAACCTGTGGTATAAGAGAAGGACATATTATAAAACAAGGCGGGTCCGGCCGAATATGTTTATGAAATATTGAGCTAGGGCCTCAACACATGATTTGACAATAGATTGAAGAATCACATTACTGTCTGTACAATTTTTTTGCAATCTCTGTATTGGGTCCGGTGAGAACCTCCATTGTATCTCATAAGATTCCCTTCAACGGGTTCCCATCACACTTTCATCACTGCAACTTATTGTTTCAGTGATGCATTGTGGTCGGCAGTCTGCCCACTCTGTCATTTCTCCCCCCCTCGACTGAAGAGTGTGGTTAACCACCTTTCATTTCTCTCATTCACCTACTCTACCGATGCACCTGTGCACCACTCAGCCCTGAGCTGCTCTCCAAATGGACTCAAAATTGATCTATGTTACATTGCATCTCTGCTGAAAGAAATTGAATGGTGCATGTGGCAGAAGTTGTATTGAAATAAGAGCTAACCTATTTTCAAGTCTTGTACCTGGACTATGTTTACAGTTAAAGCCGAGAGACCCTTTAAATGTCAAACACAGTGTAGTCTGTAAGCTATTCTGTGCATTGAGACAGAAATAAAGAAAAAAAAAATCTTATTTCTTTTCTTGTAGATTTTCATCCAAAGCCCCTAAGATGAACTTGCCTTTTTCAATCTGAGCTCTTTTCAATAAAAGAATGATATGAATAAAAAACAATCTGTCTTGCCTTAGAAATCCACTGATGTTCCAACATATTACAGTATTTCAAAGAAGTGAACATAACAGATAAGATCAATTTAAAATGACATGCTTTACATCAAGAGTCTTTGAAGTCTGAGGAAATTTAAGAAATGCAGTAACCGAATGTCTTCTGGTGGAATGTATGCTGTGGAGGTTTCGGCTTATTGTATCTTTCATTATTTTACTCAGAACTCTGAAACTCCAACTCCAGTTGTAACTGCTAACAATTCATCAGATCTTGAGCATAATAGGTTAAAATACACAGAAATTTGTAATAATGTCCAAGTAAAACAGTGAGTGTACTTTAACTCACTAGATTCTGTTCTAAAGTGGAGGGGGCTTCATGTGGCTTGCAGGTTTTTATATTCTTTAAACCTTTCCACATTTTGTTACATTCAAACCACAAACTTCAATGCATTTTGTTGGTATTTTATGATTATGATTGTCCACATTAAGTACAATATAAATGTGCATAGGTAGGAACATGTATATTGAATTCTGTCTTTTCATAAAGAAAAATCTAAAATTCATTTTGTGTATTTGCATTTAAACTCTCTCTCTACACCCAGCTTTCAGATCAGTTAAACTTGTAAGTTTATATCGTTACCAGCTACGCACATTCAGAAACATTTTCCTTTGCAAAATAACTCCAGCTTTTCAAAGTTGATAGAGAGAGCCTGTGAACGTCAATGTTTATGTCTTGCTACACATTATTTGGATTTTGACTTGGCTGTTCCCCAATCTCAAGTCTTTGGTTAATTTATCTCATAAAATCCAAATAAAACTCATTGAAGTGTAAACACAGCAAAATATAAAACGTCTACATGTATGTGTACATTTGTAAAGAAATGCAGAGTACTTTTCACTGCTCAACTTCACCTGATACTGTAAAGCACAGTTCCATTCTTGAAGATGCGCAGCAGCTTGTTGTCCGTGGTGACGTCGTGGAAGTTGGCTCCCTTCTCGTTGGCAAAGAAAAGATCTGGCTTCCAAATGGAGTCCAGCATGGAAGGGTCCAGGTCGAGCGAGGAGTCTGGGTATTTACTATACGCCAGCCGTGGGTCATTCCACTTCTGCCGCAAGAAGATGTTCACTCTGTAATCCTGCAGAGACCACAAGCAGCTTTGCATATTTGCTGCGGAGCGATTTGGGGCTGAGAGAAATGCATGCTGACGATGGAAATACCAGTCGCACATGATCTTGTTTTAATGTGGCTTTTTTTCTTCTAGAAAAATTATAATAATGATAACATAATAATAGCTACAGTAATTAAATGGTCAAATACATGAAAGTATGTTTCAATCACCGATAAAGGGAATTTATCATTTTCTCTAATTTACCCAGGTTAAATATATATATAATTAACTTCAATCTTTTTGACAATTTGCAAACAATGCTTAAAATCCTATTCTGTGCCACAATATCAGCCAAAATAAATTAGGTTCATCATTTCTACTAGAAAGACCTGTCCATCTGACTGCAGTTTAATCTTCAAGAATATTCAAAGATACAGATAAAATCATTCAAGCTTGTTGAGGACATATCTGGGCAATATGTTACCAGATATTAACATGAGTATGTATTTATGTTTCAGTCTATTTGTCAAAACCCTCAATAAATTCTACTTGTGAACCCATTTTTATTATTATTATTTTTTTTTTTTACATTTTTTAAGAGTTAGGTGTTTTTTGTCTTTTTGGGGGGGATAATAATCCCATTCAGAATAAAGAACAGATTAAGCATTTCACTGAAAGCTCAATATTATCATAAGATTCATGCAAAGTTGACAGACAGGTCATCATTTATCATTCATCATCAAGCAACAGAATAAATCATAAATAGATCATTTCCACATTAAGAAGCACACATTTTAATTTAGTGAAGTTTCAAACCTTACACTAATTTCCTCTCATCAAACACACAACACTGGACAATTAATGGAAAGGTCGGTGAGTGAGAATAACTCTAAAAACATGTTTTGCATCAGAACATCGAGGTGTCCATGGAGTCTTAATCATCCAAACATGTTTTCTGCTGATCAGATAGTGTTACAGTTTGGCCTAAATTGACCTTTTGTATTGGTTTCTTGTCAGAATTAGCATTTATAGAAGGTAAATAAATGATGGATTAGTACAGCTGGATGAGTGGATCTCTGATACTACAGTAAGTAGTATGAACTGTCAGAAAGCTCAGTTGCTCAGAGTAATTGATATGTCATGATGATGAAAAGCCCTTATGTTGTTTGACATTTCATCAGCATATTGGTGGTTCCAAGTATTTGCCATGCCTGTCTGAGGCTGTGTAATTCCCTGGCAGTTGCGCGTCTTCCCGCTCCCTGCACAAATTAACATTTTCCATTTATTATCTAAGTGGTTATTATCTCTCATTTTCCGTCCTTTGATCTTGATTAGTTTGCATGTTCTCGTGGATGCTATTTTTTTTTTTTTTTCCCATTTGACAAATGGATGCTTTAGTACAAAGTTTAAAATTCCCCCTACCTCCTGTTGTTATTTATTGACTACACTCAAAATAAATTTCTTGTTTGAGTTTGTTGGAGTTCAGACGTGAGCAAACATGTTTACAAAGGGCCGCATGGGGACAGAAATCAATACTTAACCCGCCAATTGGGTCAGTGATGATCATAAAAGATGCATGGATTGAAGTAAACAAACAAAAGAATAATGATTCAATCTGGATTCCAGAGGTCAGGGCTTTGCACAACACGCCACTCACCATAGTAGTTTCTGCTATGGAACCAAAGCTGTTGATAAATATGTTGCAGGTAACATTAACTGGTGGACCTGCAGTTTGAGGAATAAATGACACATTCACAAATCGGACAGAGAAGATATCAGTATAAAATCCAGAAGAACTCACCATCGTTGTCTCTGTGACAGAGCCGAAGCTGTTGATAAAAATATTGCATGTAACGTTTACAGGAGGACCTGTGAAATGGAATGACAATGACATGACAGGGGGAAACAAAGCCTTTAAACACATGTTTAAGCAGGGCCTTTGAGGTGAGAGTGAATTTCGGGTCTGCTGCTTTGCTGTGTATTCAAACATGCATCAATACAACAAGCAGTCTTCTGGATGTTATCTGGATGGCGGCAAGTTGTATGTGAAGCTACATCTGCTTTTTGGGCTCAATGTTTGACAAGAGCAATTAAAATGAAACTTAACATTATGGCTGGTTATTAGCATTGGCTTAATGATGTTTGAAATGATGTCTAATGGAGGTAATCCTGTAGAGGTAATTTCTCTGTAACACATTGAATAGAGGATTCATGCACACAGAGTCAAAGACATGCAAACACACAAAGTGGTGTGTCAGCTGAGGAGTGAATTATCTGATCAGCAACATTTTCATGGACATGAAAAAGAAGCTGTTCTTGTAATACAGAGGCTTGCAGAAGTATTCACACCCTTATCACATTTTGTCACATTATAACCACAAACATCAAAGTATTTTGTTGGGATTTTATGTAATGGACCAATACATTGCTGTGAAGTAAAAGGAAACTGTTACATGATTAGCAACTGCCTTGTTGACAGAATTTCCCACCTGAGCTGTGGATCTCTGCAGCTCCTCCACAATTACAGTGGATCACATGGCTGCCTCTCTGAATAATGCTTCACTTGTTGGACTTGTCCAACTCGTGGAGTTGAAAATGTTGATTAAGTGACTTCTGAAGGGAATTGAACATAGAGAATGCTATACTTTCAGAGGAAAGGGGGCTTTATAAGAATGCACACCAGATTTAGATTTTATTTTTTTTAAGATTTCTGTAACAAATTTTGAAGTATGAACTTGTTTTCTTTCCGCCATGCAGTCACGTTACATCCAGATAAATAATATTTAGTTTGTGGTTATAGAATAAAAAAGAAATTGCAAGAGTAGTGAATATACAGGTACTCATATGTGCTGTATAAGTTGGTTATAATCAGAACATCAAGAGTCTCCAAATAACATTAAAAGGCTCATTTGCAATAAACTAATAAAGCAAATATATTTGATAGTGAAAGGTCTTGCTTCAATTCTAAACCATCAAGTAGACATTTTATTTTCTACAGAATAAGAAAATCTATCTTATGAACTCCAATAGGGAATGTAGTTTCTCTTTACAGCTCCCTAAACTAAAGTATCTTTGCAAGACTTGCATTACGAGTCACAGCATATCTTTCTCCCCAAGCTGATAAGTGAAGTTGTAAGCTCTTCCTACTGCCTTTCCCCTGTGTTTGCCACATCAATATTTCATGGCTCTCTGTATTAATATTTGCCTGTGTTTGTTGTGAAGTTTCCACATTTTTACAGCGAAAAGAGGTAACTGGCAGCAGCTCCTCATAACAAACTAGGCATGGAAATCTAGGTCAGCCTTTTTAGAATCGCGGTTCGACACTCTTCAAAGTACATCTAGCAGGTTCATGAGCAAAAACTAACTGTTTACAGCACAGCCGCTTAATGTGGATTTGTTTGTTTTCTGACTGTAAAATGTGAAGCTCTATCTGTTTAATACGGAGAGAGATCTCTGCTCTCACTTCCATTCATCTTCTAGCATTGTAACTACCAGGTTAAATCAGCAAAATCAATGTTTTATATATCAATACTGCCTAAAAATATAAGATGTGTCACAGAAATCTAGACATCTCTAGAAATCTAGATTTCGCTGACAGACAAAGAGTATATGGCATACAGGAATTAAATATTCATACATTCTTTTTTCAGTTAAGAACTGATGCTTTTTATTCAGAGTTTATGTCACACACAAACACAACATAGTGGATAATAGTCAAGAAGACAAGTGAAAATCTGAAAAGTGTTATATCATTTAGTAACTGCTTAGCTAACCGGGGTTATTATTAGGCAAGACCAACTTTCACTGCGTTTACAACTATATATTTTGATATGTTCTGTTAAGCCACCAACAGATCAGTGCATCTAAATACTGAACGTTTCCACCATATTCAGAGCTATTATGCCTTAGCCTTAGATATTATGTTATTAGCCATATTAAAAAGCTTTTATTTAAACTATTCCATTGTGACTTTTAAAGCTTGCAGCTGTAAGCATCTTTACATCTTAGTCCCTGAGCAGTCAGATGGCTCTTCATGATGCTGGTTGCTCACAAATATTCTCTGCGTAACTTCTGAGGTCTTAACAAAAGAAATTGCATCCATGCTGAGATTAAATTGTATGCAGATGGACTCTATTTACTATAGACACTTGGTTGAAGTGAATTGTATTAAGTGGTATTGATTAAAAGAAAATTCTTTAAAAAAAAAAAAAAAAAAAGGGGACCACACTGTAAGGCTTACATGATTTTTGTTCCACCTCAATAATGTGCTACTATATGTTTGTGTGTGACGTAAAAACTGGGAGATGCTATATTGTTGTGACCCTGTGATGGACTGGTGACCGGTCTAGATGGTACACCACCTCTTGCCCAATGACTGCTGGGGATAAACACCAGTCCCCTGTGACCTTGCAAGAGAATGGAGGTATAAACGATGGATTGTTGTGCTTTTCCCCTTCCTGTATTTTCAAGCTGCTTTACCTACTGGAGTCCATGGACTGTAACAAGCAACATCCCAGGTGACCTCAGAAGCTAAGAGTGGGCCTCAGACCCAATAAGTGAAAACTTTGCTCACTCAAAACCTTTCCAATGACAGAAGCTGTGTGTGTCCTCAGCATCAAAGCAACAACAGCAGAGGAGGTCTGCATAGCCTGCAGTCTAGCCACTGGGGCACCATCAATCGTCTAGTCTGTCACGGTGGCACTCCTGTCTGAAGTGAGAACGTGTCTTATTTCTGTGCTGATGGGATATTTTCAGTTCCTGATTCTGATCTCACATTTAATAAAGGTGGATATTGAATTTTAGACATCTTTCAGATAAGAAAACCATCATTGAGTGGCACGGTGTGAACTGTGATTAAATCTAAGCAGGGTCCTCCCTCTTACTGTTAATTGAAGTGATTGAGTGTTGCCTCTGAGTTGCTGGAAGCCCAGTTCCTTGGCAACAGATAACATCCAACACATAACTGGTTAAAAAGATTAGTGTTTACACTTACAGTGGCATTTCTGTGGCTATTTATAGTTCTCAAAATGTGGAAAGTGAAATGTGTGTGTGTGTGTGTGTGTGTGTGTATACGTGTGTGGAAACTCATTTGATTGCGAACAAACCTTTGAAGTTGGGTCTAATTCGTGCATCGTACTCGGACGTGCGACCCATTAAGGAGTCCAGAAAGTCTGATGGAGACATGTTGGAGGAGGACCTGGAGTCGTACTCCCTGGCGACCACAGCTCTGGAAAGCACACATAGTGAAGGGGAGGAGAATAAAAAACACTTGATCAGAAAGAAGTCGCAGCTCAGAAAGCAGGTGTTAAACCTTATCGGTGTAGCCCAGGAGCTGCCTGGGAGTCAGAGGCGCGCACAGAAAGCGTGTGAGTTGCAGACACACACGCACACAGACGTATATTAAGCTATCAGATGTGATTTCCCTTCCAAAACAGGACTAATCTGTTCATAACACGAGATTCCCACGGAGATGCACAAATGTGCAGGTGGAAGCAGAAATAATTTTGAAGCTATATGGCTCATCAATTAATACGATTAGGTGCTTGAATAACATTCACTGTTCATTTTAACCAAGCAAAAACAAGCCTCAAAGAATTACAGTTTTACATATCATTCTAATTGCTCCCACAAAACAACACAAAAGTCAGACTTAATTCTAAAGATTTCAAAATTTGAAATCAAATCAAACAAATGACACTATTTTATGGTGCATCATCTTTAGTTTATCAAATAGTTGAGCTAAATTAGGTTAAAGAAAATTAATTAGTCGAAATATTTCAAATAATTACTGGTTTTCTTACTTCATAATAATAATAATAATAATAATAATAATAATAATAAAACTCAGTGGCAGTGCAAAAACACAAACAAAGAAATGATGTAATTTCTCTTACCTGAAGTTGCTAATCTCCAGGAAGTATGTGAAAATAGCTACTAAAACCTTGAAAAAGGATTGTGTCATTCCCGGTGTCTTCCCCATGTGCTTCACTTTTCTATTCTATCTCGTCCATATGGTTCACATCAGTCAAACACATGATCCAGACGGGAACAACGCCGCTCTCCTCCTGACCGAGTCGTTGGCGTTTGGGCTGTCTCGGGTCACGCAGAAATGCGGGAGACATTCCTCAAAGCGGCCAAAGATCATAGTTCAGTTTCACAGGAAAACTCCAAGACACAAAATCAAACCGCTCGAAGCAAAGGCGTGGAGATACAACAGTCAGAAAAAATAAAAATAAAATAAAAATAAATAAAAATAAAAGAACCGTCGAAATTACTCCAAGATGCGTCGACTTGCAGCTCCTCTTTAGGCGGATTGAGATCTAAACAAGCTTCGACCTGCTTCCAGGCTCGCTGGCATCTATGAAGTGAAACCGTTTTCAGGTGAGAGGGGCTGTCAAGGAATGAGAGAGGAACGCCTTGTTTTTTTCTTTTTTCTTTTTCTTTTTTTTTTCTTCAGTTCAGCACTTGGACAGCTCCCGGATCCTTTACGCGCAGGCGCAAGGCATTTAAAAGTGACGAACGTGAGTTGAGTTCGAATAAATCTAATGCAGGAGTGAGGTAATCACCAGGAATATATGGGGAAATTGCCTCCAAGCGCGTGTCTCATGGTGATTGACGCTCGCACTTTTAAATGCTGAGTTTCTGCCCCTCCTCCTCCTTCTTCTCCTCCTTCTCCTCGTGCGATTGCTTTGAAAGGGAAACTCCCAGCGCGCGCATCCGCGTATCAGAACTGAACGTCTTTCTGAGGAAATTTGTCGCTTTTTCAGGTTAAAGTAAAGATAAGAATTTTTTCGCTGATTGTGAGTGGGGATTTTTTTTCTGTTGTCGATTTCACTTACAATGTTTGTATTTGAAAGGCGCATAGATTGAATGGTGAGTTATTGCTCCCAGAGGCTTTCACGATAACAGAGGATTGACTGGCCGCTCTGACTCCGTCCTTGACTGTGCTTTCTACATACCATGCATTTTTTTTGCACTCCTATATCAGACTGTTCAGAGATTGCAAAAAAGGTTTCACAGAACTTCACTCCTGGAGCCCACTCTTCACTCCACACACTGACGTGAATCGAGGTTTATCTCATTAAACTGGAAAATGATTGAAAACTAATATTAAATTCAACAAGTACAACTCAGATTATATAGATCAATTGCACAAGGGTGATTTCATTCTACTTAAATAAATACAAACAAAAGTTTAGATTTATTTGCATCTACTGATGCTACCCAAAACAATTTGCTCCAATGTGGAAAAGTCAGTACCCCTTATAATAAATCATGAATTGACTACATTGATTGTGAGTGGACATAAAATAGGGACATACTTTTCAGTGTATGAAATCGTTTCTATGATGGTTTTATGTAATGTAAAATAGCCTTTATTTTCATTATCTGTAAACTGCGACAATCTAAATAAAATGATCTTTTTTCCCTGTGGTATTACAATTTACTCGATGGAGTAATTTAAGGGTCAGAGAACAATAACAGAAGAGATTGTCAGTGCAAATTCACACAAAAATCTCACCCAAACCCTCACAGACAGAGTTAAGACCAAAATTATTCATACCTCTGGCAGATTTAGGGACAAAGTGATCTTGTAATAGTACCAACATGTTAAATATTACTTTTTAGGATAAGTAATAACATTTTTGAGCTTTTCATGTGGAACACATTTGGAACATTGAAAAAAAATAATAATTGCACAGCAGATTCAAGAAGGCCTGCTAATTTTTGTGAATTCAGTTTTGTGGTGCGTCGTAAATGTGTTTTATCCTTCAGCAGGGCTGACCTGGTTATAGACAAGCTGACTATTTTAAACGTATAGCCAGTTTTATCAGAGTCTGTCTGACATACCTTTTGAGTTATTTCATAATTGGTTTTTTAAACTTAAAATCTTTAAGCCCTTAAGTAAGATATATAATTTTGACATAAAGTCAATTCATTCATTCATTCATGCAGATCTAGCTCCTTTCTATAAAGACTGATACTTTAAAAAAATAGTTGATAAATTTCTAATAGTTTCATTTCATCCATCATGAAAATATGCATTTGTCAGATTATGAATGTCTTGGATTGTGGCCCTTCAAGGCATCCTCACAGATATATGTGGTATAAACAAAGAACACGCCAGTGAGAAGCCATTCTGAGAGTATTTGCTACTCCAGTTGCCCTGGAAACAGATTTCCAAGGCGCATCGCTGGAAATGCTAAAAGGTTGGCCTCCCAGAGTGAGACGGAGGAGAGCCGACTGGCTGTCACTGATGCAGACGACAGGAAATATGCAGAAGCCTCAGGCTGGAGGAGCTCAGGTTTAGTGGGGCACCATCACAGAGACTCAGTAATTTTAGTTCTAGTTTGTATGCATGCAAACCTGACGTATCAATACAGAGGTTGGGTGGGAGAGCTGACAGTTTTCGGAATATGAGTGGGTTTCAGAGGCTTCTTGGACCACAGGCGTGAATGAGTCACTCCACACAAACACGTATGTGCTGTGGAGGAAGCAGCCAAAGTTACACACACAATGACTGCTTGGTTATTTCTTCAACCCAAATCCTAGGTTGATGTTAGGCTGAGGCTGTCCGGACAGGTGTTGGGTAGTTCAGACCAAACACTCAGTGTCATCAGTATCTGTCAGATTAGTAGCAAGTATTAGCTAAAGGTTGGATCAGTATAAAATGTCAGAATTAGTTCTGACTTTTAAATCTGAAATAGTTTGGTGTGTTTTCTTTCAGTCTCTCCTATTAGTCATCCTTCCTTCAGATCCCTGGATTCTCCTCCAGCTGCTCTGCATTGTGTTGACTGTTCTCACCTGATTTCTCTGCCTATTATCACTCCTCCTACCTACTTGAGCTCCATGGTTTCATTGCTCATTGCTGTATTCTGCTTTTGTTCTCCCCGTGGTTTCTAGCTTTTTAACCTTTGGTTCTGCAAGTTCCTCAATGTTTTCACAATCAAATCTCCACTCCCATACATGCCACATGCTTCTGTCTTGCTGTAAAATGTCGATTGACTCAATTGATCCATTTGACTAGTCTTTAAATTTACTACTGTTACCAGGTTTTGTAAAAAGATTGACTGTTTCCTTTACCTTTGCATGATGTTATAATGTTACTCTCTCATCAAAAACATACCTGGAGTGTTGCTTTGATTCTTTCATGCTTGTTTGAGAAATCCTTGACTTTCCCTAGGAAATCATTCAGATTGCCAAGGGAAAAATGAAACGCTTGCTCTCACAAAGCTCCTCCTTGGCGCTTCAGTCACCAGCCAAGCTTTCACCTCACAGAGTATCTCTCCCCCGCACGTTCGCCAGTCAGCTCCTTCAGACTAGCAGCAGCAACAATTACCAAAAACCTGGTGGAACTCTGAGCGTACATTAGGAACTATACTTCTTCAGAAGTATAGTTCTGAGGGAGTCTTCCCAAGGGATCAATAAAGTCAAGTCTCTCTAAGTCTAGTAAATCAAAACTAAATCGCTCTTAAGAACGACTTAAAGGGCTTAATAGGGAAACATTTTTGCACTACAAATACAACTGCTTGTTGTATTCTAAGTTAGCTCAAAATAATGAAAGAATTTTATGGAGGCATATTTACAGTTGTTGGCACATACGAAGAGACTCTCCTACAAGTACACAGAAGAAATAGAAGATATACTAATTCATATTTTTTGCTTATGAGTTCTTGTCATCATACAATTCTTTGCTTGATTTAATGTTAGTTGAGCCTACCTTTTAGGTAGGTTTGAGGAACATTGAACTTTGTTTAAACAGACGTTGAAACAACCCAGCAAACAACATAACTCAAGTTGAATTGTTTTTAACCTGGCAGTTTATAGAGAGAACTGAAGGGGGGAAAAAATCATAATTTCATCCATAACTACCCAACCACAAGCATTGTGCTGTGAGACTCCTCTTGACACCTCTTATGCTTCACCGCTGCCACATGCCCCGGGCAACATTACGTTTCAGCATGATTCTTGGTTATTGTCCAGTTAGCAGATCATCCCTGCCTGAGGTGAAGTAATCTTCCTCTCTCTGACAGAATTACAAGTGTCAGAATCGCTCTCATGCTTGAAAATGTTGGATATTTTTCACCTCATCTGGGGATATAACATCTGTGTGTCAACAGAAGCTGTGTGCATTGCTTCTTCTAAGGCATGTTCCCAAGCATAAATGCTTAATGCCCAAGTTAATTATTCATCAAGCTCTTT